GTGTATTGTGTATATGTGTGCATTGTGTGTGTGCACACATGTGTGCCATCCTGGGGCTTGAACTCAAGGCCCAGGCTCTGTCCCTGAGCTTCTTTTGCTCAAGACTAGAGTTCTACCATGTGAGCCACTGTTCCATTTTGCATAGTTTAGTGGAAATAAGAGTCTTAGAGACTTTTTTTGCCCTGGCTGGGTTCAAATTCTGACCCTCAGATCTCAGCCTGCTAAGTACCAAGGACTACATGTATGAGCCATCAGCACCCAAATCATAGAAAGCTTTAAAAAGGAATTTACAGTAAAGACTAAATGAATTCTGTCACAGAACTAACAATCTTAACAATAATTAATATTCTTAATAGTATTTAACAAAACTCAGTAATGCTTAATTCCTGCCCCAGTGACATAAGGAAAAGAAGAGCCTTTTGATCTGTCTCAGGGGCAGTGTTTTGGAAAAAAAGTGACTTTAAAGTTTTGGGACAGTTGATTTTGAGATATCTGTGTGATAATCTAGAAAGATAAAGCATAGATAGTTGGATATACAAATATGAGGCTTAGGAGAGAGTGCCAGACTAGAGGTACAAATATACAATTTATCAGCAAACAAGTTGTAGAGAAAAGCCATGAGATTTACCGGAGGAAACAGAATGCACTTGGTCATGACCACAGGGGAAGCATTACATTTAATAGGAAGATAAATAGAAGTCTATATAGGAAACATAAAAAGAAGTGGAAAGATAGAAAACAAGGCGTAGTGATACACCATAATCCGCAGAGGACATTTTTTTTTCCTAATAAAGCCCAGAATTTTCCAATTGCCATACTGAGACCAATTTCAAGATGGGTGATGGATGATGATATTCCAATTGCAAAGGAGTGAGGAATATGTAGTGCAGAGAGAATGCTAATAAATGTGATGTCGGTGAGGGGGAGTTGCTGGAAGTCTAAGAGTTCCTTCATAGAAAGCGAAGTGATCTACTGAGAGGGAAGTGTGTGGGCTTAAAGAGTGTGTAGAGAGAAGGCTTGTAATAGTTGTGCTGAGAAAGAAAAACCTTCAAATGCTACTTCCTGTCACGTCCCTGCTCAGTATTCTGTCTTTCATGCTAAACTTTGTGAAAAATCGCTTTGGCTTTGCATTCTCTTTCTTCCTTCACTCCTTAAAACCACTTACACTGTCACTTGGCATTTGTCTCTATATACAACAACTTAGTTTCTGCCTTGACTTAAAAAAAATCACTAGTGGCTTTTGTGTTTCACAAAATGTATGTTGGATTACCTGACATTTGTTAAAAGAATGGTATTCCTTTATGCACTTTTCTCCTTTTCTTTCTTTGGAAGGAAGTACAGGGCCTCAAACTCAGGTCCTCATGCCTGCTAAGCAAGTGCTCTAAAACTGTGCTAGACCTTTAGCTCCCCCCTCCTCCTCCTCTTCTTCCTCCTCCTCCCCCCCCCTCCTCCTCCTCCCTTCTCCTCCCTCCTCCTCCCCCCTCTGATCTTCCTCCTCCCTCCTCCTCCTCCCTCTGCTCCTCCTCCCCCTCCTCCCCCCTTCTCTCTCCTGCTCCTCCTCCTCCTTCTCCTCCTACCCTTCCTCCTCCTCCTCCTTTTTCTTCTCTACCTTCTCCTTTTCCTCCTCCTTCTTGTCTTGCTCCTTCTCTTCCTCCACCTTCTCCTCCTCTGCCTCCTCCTTCCTCTTCTTCTTCCTCTTCTTTTTCTTCCCTTCTCCTCTTCCAATTCCTCTCCTTCTCCTTTTCCTTTCCTCTTCTTCTTTATCCAGTGGTACTTGGGTTTAAACTCAGTGCTTCATTATTGGTAGGCAGTTGCTCTACCACTTAAATGACATTTGCTCTGGTCATTTTTGAATTAAGGTCTCACTTTTTTCCTGGTTGACCTGGCCTATGATCCTCTTATAGCTTCCTAATGTAGCTAGAATGACAAATGCTCATCATCTAAAAGTCTAGGACTTTTTGCCTATGCTGGCACTGAATCACAATCTTCAGATCTCAGCCTCTTAAGTAGCTAGGATTATAGGTGTGAGCCACCAGGGCCCAGCATGATTCTAATTTTTAATAATCAAATGAGAACATAGCCCTATTTCTTTCCTAATTCAGTGGAATGTTGGACAGTTTATCTATCTATCTATCTATCTATCTATCTATCTATCTATCTATCTATCTATCTATCTACCTATCTATCTATCTATCTATCCATCCATCCATCTATCCTCTATCTTTCCATCAAATGTAAAAAACATCTCTATCCTTGTAACATTAAATAGATAAATAGGATCTTGCTATTTTTTTTTTTTTTTTTTTTTGCATCAGGGTTTTTTTTTTCTTTTTTTTTTTTTTATTTCAAGTGATCTTTAATATGGTAAATTATAGATTATCTTTTTTTTTTTTTTTTTTTGTTTTCCCCCTACCATCCCCTCCCTCCCTCCCTTCCCCGAGGTTCTTTTTTTTTTTTGATTGTGATTAAATGATTACATAATTTCAAAGATCTTGCTATTTTTGAGGCAGGGTCATGATTTATAGCCCAGGTTGGCTTTGAACAAGAGATCTTCTTGCTTCACTTCCCTGATCACACACAATGAACATTCTTCTATCCATTTTTGGTTCTGGAGTCTCATCTTCCATCATACTAAGAATATCTTTAATACCAAGCTATATTCCTAGTCCAATGCACATAAAACTCCTCCTGCTTTTTTTTTTTTCCAGTGTAGAGGTTTGAACTCAGTGCCTTGTGTTTGCTAAGCTGGTATTTGACTGCTGAGCCATGCCTCCAGTTTTTTTTGCATTGGTTATTTTTGAAATAAAATCTAGCTTCCTGCCTAGGTATGTTTCCTAGACTGTGATCTACCTCACAGCTTCTTCTACTGAGATGGAGTCTCAAGAACTTTTTTAGCCTGGGATTGCTTGGAACCATGATGCTCCCATACTCAGCCTCCCAAGTAGCTCAGATTGCAGGCGTGAGCCATCAGGCCAGCTGTAAAATTTCCTTTTGTAGTGCAAGGGAGAGAATCCAGACAGATATGCTAAGCAACTACTCTTCCATTGAACTAAATCTTTAGCTCTTGGTGTTCTGAGACAAAGTCTCACTGTGTAGCTCAGGCTTTTTTCCTACAGGCAATCCAGTGTCTGCCTCCTAGAGTTGGAACTACATACTGCCCCACCATAAACAATGCATGTAAAATTCTTAACGAATGCCTAGTTTTTTTTAGAGTAAATGGTGATAATTTTATCTTAATTTGAAATTAGCAAATCAATTTTAACAAGTGAAAAACATCTCAAAGATGTGTATGGCAGATTTTATCCTTTGTTTGAAAGGATACACAGATATCACTGCTGCAAGTTATTGAGCAGGCCAGCCTTAACACCTTGTGCCTAATTGATAAAATAGTGCAACAGCAAGAATGACCAAATTTATTTGGTATCAGATCAAAGAGGATCACCTATCCTAAGCTAAGGTGAAGTGAGTCCAGTCCTCAACCTTTTTTTTTTTTTGTCGGTTGTGGGGCTTGACCTCTGGGCCTGGGCGCTGTCCCTCAGCTCTTCAGCTCAAGACTAGTACTCTACCACTTGAGCCATAGTGCCACTTCTGGTTTTCTGGTGGTTTATTGGAGATAAGAGTCTCACAGCCTTTCCTGCCTGGCTGGTTTTTAACGGCAATCCTCAGATCTCAGCCTCCTGAGTGGCTAGGTTTACAGGCCAACCTTTTTTTTTTTAACTGTTAATATGGATGACAGAGTATTCATTGTACCTCTGATTAGTTGTGTCCACACTTATCCAGGGTTGTGTACAATTTTTTGTCAGTTGTGGGGCCTGAACTCTGGGCCTGGGCGCTGTCCCTCAGCTCTTCAGTTCAAGGCTAGCACTCTACCACTTGAGCCAGAGCACCACTTCCAGCTTTTTCTGCTTATGTGGTACTAAGGAACTGAACCCAGGGCCTCATGCATGCAAGGCAAGCACTCTACCACTGAGCCACCTTCCCAGCCCCTACTATTTTTTTTTAAAGTCTTTCCCTTGCTTTAAGCTTTCTGGTCTCTGCCTTGATGTGTCCTCAAATTCTTTTTTTGAGACATCACAAACTCAGGATGTAAGGGACAGGCAGAGACATATGTACCCCTTGGTAATCCTCCTGGAGAATCACTAGGTTCTGGTCTGTTAACCATTTTTTGCCTACCCCACTGGGCTGTTCATCATTATTTCTGGTAACAATTAGGAAATTTAATGTCTTGAGTCTGCTTCAAAGTAATCTATGTTGGAAGCCAGGGAAAGAAACAGGACATGTTGTTGAAGCAGGGTGGTTATTACTGTTATTTTGTAGATGTCTAAAAATTTTATAGTAAACGTTAATGATTTATTTTGCTCTAATATTGACTATGAAAATTTACACTTAGCAAAATGAAATGTCATGAAAACTTAGTTTGTGACACCCCACTCCTCAAGAGAAGGGAGTAACACCAATAAGATTAATTAGAAATGAAGACAATGTTTTAGATTTAAGCCATCTCATAAAGAGCTGTCATTTAAAAATATTTATTAAGGAGCTGTACAAAGGGCTTTCAATTCCAGAAGGTTATAAATATAATGCATTGTGATTAATGTCACCCCTCTATCATTCTCCCTCATGTTTTCCCATCCCATTTCTACCCTCAAGTTACAGTTTTAACTTTTCCATAATGAATATCAAATGTAATTACTGAATTTGCTCATTGGTGGGTTTCTCTCCCTATTCTTTTAAACTTTATCGCTGTTCTCACTTTAACAGCTAGTCGTAAAATACCTTTTACTATTCCATGGACCAAAGTATAGCTTCCACCTTCCCTAACCTTCACTCATCACTACAAAGAAACTACAAATCCCAGCATGCACTGCACGATACGTCAGCTCGAAGGCCTGGAATCTCTGAACGGGCTGCTCTCATTTAGATGAATGGAAATGGTCTCAGGAAAAAATGACGATTGCGGATTGCCGCAGATTTTTGGGCTCTTTTCAGTGCCTTGAGTCGGCCGAGTGCGCTGTTCACCCAGAGCCTCGCGGTAATCTTTCTGTTCAGGCGTCACCGTGGGCAGCCTCATCCTTTCCTGGGTCCTCCATGCGGCCGGAGAGCTCCGTTAGTACCCCTCCAAGATGGCGACGCTGTTGGCGGTAAATTCGGGTGAGTGCGGCCGGGCAGAAGACGAACGATGGAGCCGGGCGATGACCAGTCCTTTAAGGGAAGGGTCCGGGGCTGTGAGGTTCTCCGGGGTCCGGGCCGCCGTCTGTGCGCGGTGCCTGCGTTCCCCTAGCTCCGGGCCTAGAATCCCGGCCCTCCCCGGTTTGAATGGCGCGCGGCGGCGCTGGGCTTCCGAGTGGGCCTGGAGTCCACGCCGGGAGGCCGGGAGGCCGGCGGGCCGCGCAGCCGCGCCCCCGCGCCCCGGACCCGGCCTGGGTTCCCACGCTCCACTCCTTGACGTGTCTGCAGCCTGGGTTCCCCCAGGATCCCCGTCACATCTCCAGCAGCGAGGCCCAAGAACCCGAAATGGTTTTCAGCTGGCCGTGGAGGCTGGAGGCGGGACGGGGAGGGGGTGCCCGGCTGGTTCCGGGGACGACCCCAGATCAAGTCGGCTGTCTCCAAGGTGGCTTGGAAGGGGGTGCCACAGGCCCAGCAGATGCCTCCACATTCTGCGTGTGTGATCCCGTCCTTTCTCGGTAGAGTTTCGGGGTGAGGTCGAATCTGAGAGGCAGTGAAGGAACTATTGGAGAGGGATGTGTCGAATTTTGGTGGTTCGACACCTTCCACTCCCCCCTCCCCCACCCCCGTCCTGGAACGCCCCAAAGCATACATACACTTTGTCGAATTTGCCGTGGTATACTGCTGGCTGGCTCTATAGATTGGGAACGGCAGAGATGCCAGAAGGCATCTGTATAGGGCGGAGAAGCCCCAAATTCCTGCTTAGGATGTTAATCCCTTGATTGACCTACACATAAAATTCTCAGGCACTATTAGGAGATCTGTTTGGCAAAGGATCTCTTTGTAACAATCCTGGTTGTGGTGGTGGTTCTCCCATCTTTTTGTACTGATTCCGGGACTTGAACTCAGGGCCTTTGAGAGTTCTCACGTGGATTTCTTTTTCTTGCTCCTCTGGACTCTTATCACTTGAGCCACGCCTCCAACCTGGCATTTTTCTGGCTAATTGAAGAATGATAATTATATTGTAATATATAGTATATATTATACACACTATGTTATAGTCATATATAGTATATATAATTATGTAGTATCATATACTATATATATAGTATGTGGCATATACACTATATAATATATAGTACATAGTGTATATAAGTATGTATTATATATTACATAATGTATAACATAACACATATGTTATATACTATCTATAATTATATATAAACATAATGCAAAAACAATATAATAATGTAAAATGGTAATATGTAATATTGCTGTCCCTTCTTTCCAACTAGATATAAATTTAAAAGCAAGGCTACACTGTTATTGTTATGTACATTTATTTGTCATATTCTTATGTTATTAAATCTTTGAGGGAAAGAGTTTTAAAAAGAATTAAGAGCTACAGAGAGTATATATTGTACAATAATGACTAAAAGTATGCATTACAGTAAAGAGTAAAGAGTATAGCCAAGAACCAGTGTCTCATGCTGACTCAGGAGGCTGAGACCTGAGGATCATAGATCAAAGCCAGCCCTGGCAGGAAAGTCCTTAAGACTTATATCTAGTTAACCACCCAAACTGCCAGAAGTGGAGCTATGGCTCAAGTGGTAGAGGTCTAACCTTGAACAAAAAAGCTCAGGGATAGCGCCTAGGTCCTAGGACTGGCACACACACAGAAACGCACACAAAGCATATCCATGCAAAGAAATATTATGCAGCCTAAAACAAGGAAGAAAATCCTGATATATGATACAACATGAATCAATCTTGAGGACATTATGCTAAATGAAATAAGTAAATCACAAAAGACAAATACTGCATAGTTTTACTTATGAAGTATGTGTAAGTAGCCAAAGGCAAACAGTAGAGTGCTAGTTGCAAGAAACAGGAGAGGTAGATGGCAGTACTTGCTTAATAGATATAGTTTCATTTTTGCAAGATGAAAGTCCAAATGTGTCTTGCAAAACAGTGTGAATATATTTAATATTATTGTACACGTAATAGTTAAGATGACATTGTTTCTTGCTGTCACAACAACAAAAAAATCAAATGTCTTAGAGTTGTAAAAAAGAAAAACCTGAAGAAGCTGTAGTTTTTTTGATCTTGAGTTTCAAGCTACATGACTCATTAGTGTTGTGACAGCTCCAATATATACTTAGAGGCTTGTAATTGAGCAGCCAATAACACAGCTAGTTAGTCTATGATAGTGTGGTCAACCCTGTCCCGATTTCAGTAGTGATTATTTCATCATCTACACTTCTCAGACCTTTAACCTGCAGCTGACCTAGAGAAAGTACTAGCCAATAAACGTAAACTATTTGCACTCTTGAATCAAATTCCTTCTGTGTTCTTACCTAAGGTAAATCTTACCCTTTATTTTCTTCCTAATACCCCTTCTTTGTCTCTTGCTCTAATTTATTTATTTATTTTATATTTCTTGTTATGTAGGGTTTGAATTCAGTGCATTGAGTTATGAATCTAGCCCTCTTTCTCTTTCCTTCCTTCCTTCCTCTTTTTTTCTTTCTTTTTTTGCTTTTTGGTCGGTCAGTCGTGGGGCTTGAAGTCTGGGCTTGGGCACTGTCCCTGAGCTCTTATGCTTAAGGCTATATATTGTTCTACCACTCTCTGAGCCACAGCACCACTTTCGGTTTCTGGTGGTTAACTGGAGATAAGAGTCTTATAGACTTTCCTGCCGGAGCTGGGTTTGAACCATGATCCTCAGATCTCTACCTCCTGAGTAGAGTAGCTAGGATTACAGGAGTGAGCCCCCAGCCCTGGGCATTTCTCTTTGTCCGCACCCCTGCCCCCTCCACTCCACCTTGCACATCTATCCTTTGCATGCTTTGGTCTAATTGTTATCCTTTTTTTCCTCTTCACAGCCAGACCTTTCAAGAGATTTTTCACTATTCACTGGCTCCATATCTATGCTTCTATCCCTCTACCCATTCTAGCCTGATTCTATCTCCTAAACAGCTCTTAATAAGATGACCATGTTCTTGTTTATCACTAAGTCTGGTAGCGTTTTAAGTCTTCTTGCTTGGTCTTTTAGGGTACATGTCAAAGTCCTGAACATAGTTTAGAAAGCCCTGCCTAGAGTGGCAGTTGCGTATTTTTCCCAAACTCTGTTTTGTACTGTTGCTCTTGGCTTCTTCCATTCTTTGAGAGTGTAGTGTTTTCTCTAGCCATGGGAAGTCACTTAGTGTCTTCTCAGAACATGTCTTTGCTTCCTGTCCCTCAGTTAACTCCCATTTCTATCTTTCAAAATGCAGCCTAATCATTCCTGAACCCTTCCCTCCCCTGATTGCACCTTCTGGGTCATATTATATACTGCCTTGCCTGGGGCACCTCTTTCAAAGTATGTACACAATTGGACAATATATTTTTGTGTAATTGATGTTTCCTTGTATACTCTTTGCTCACCAGTACCCCAAACATGCTGCAGAAGTGTGTAAATAAGATATGCTGGAAGTGTTAGAAAACATTAAGGAAAATAGAATTCTAAAGGAAAGTGAGACATATATTAACAATACATGTTTAGTTATTTGGAAAAATAATTTATAATTGGTCACTAAAAAGATATTTACTAAATTTGGACAAACTAAAAACCTTTGGTAATGTTAGTGATGGACAAAGTAGCCCAGTATATGTGATACGGTGTATATTGATTTATTATTGGCTGTCTCCTCAGTAAGGGGGAGAAGGAACTTTGACTTTACCACTCACTGAGCTTATTGTGCAAAATATGTATAATCTAAGGACATTTGTTCTTCAGAAGTCTTATTTTGTATGTGTGTGTGTGTGTGTGTGTGTGTGTGTGTGTGTGTGATTTTTCTTTTTGCCTGTCCTGGGGCTTGAACTCTGGGTGCTGTCCCTTGAGCTACAGTGCTACTTCTGCCTTTTTTTTTTTTTTTTTTTTTTTTTGAGTAGTTTATTGGAGATAAGAGTGTCAAGGAGCTTCCTGCCCCGGTTGGCTTTGAACTACGATCCTCAGATTTCAGCTAGGATTACAGGCATGAGCCACTGTGCCCAGCTTATTGTTTATTAAATATGCCAAAAAGCAAGAATAAACTTTTTATTTATTTTTATTTTTTATTGTGAAAATACTGTACAGAGGGGTTACAATTACATGGGAAGATAATGAGTACATTTCCTCCTTTGTTTCCCCTTCCCATCCCTTCCCATTAAACTTTTGATAGCTCTTATTGTTAGGTTTTTGAGACCTCACTGTGTACTCCTAGGCAGTCCTAGCACTTGTTATATACAGTCTCAGCTGATCTCCTTCTTTGGCTCTCCCAAATTCTGGTATTACAGATAAATTCTGTTTTGTCAGCCATTCATCAGATTTATGAAATACTTGTGGTAAGATCTGTTTCTCATTTGCCTAGGAGTCTTTCCTCTCCCAGTACCATGGAGTTGACAGCCTTTTTGCTCTAAACTGAACTGCATAGTCATTTTTGACACCTTCCCTTTTTTTTTTTTTGTCGGTCGTGGGGCTTGAACTCTGGGCCTGGGCGCTGTCCCTCAGCTCAAGGCGAGCGCCCTACCGCTTGAGCCTCAGCGCCACTTCCGACACCTTCCCTTTATGTTTGTGCTGTTTGGCTATCCATTCTGACTCTCTACTACTAATGGGTCTTTACCAGCTATTTTACTACCCTTGCCTTTAGTGTTCATTTGTTTCTGATATTTCCTGTTCTAGTACAGCCTCATCAGACACCATTCTTCTACATGCCAATTTTATTTTGTCAGGTCTACAGGTTGAGCATCTCATATCTGAAATTGGTTTGGACCAGAAGTACTTCATACTTTAGATTTTTTCTTTTTTATTTAAGAAGAGTGCAGACTGCTGTTTGAACATCCCTAATTCAAAGTCTTAAACTTTTTGAGCATTACATTGGGGCTCCAACTTTTTAGATTAGCAATGCTTAATCTGCATTGATATAAAAGGCTCAAATCTTACTCTGTAGCATTTAAGGGCCAAGAAAATGGACTGAGGGAAATCAGGATTTAAGGGCAGACAATAATTTTAGCCACCTATAAACTTGACTTTTGTCTGTATATCCAGAATTAATTTTAGGTCCCATTAATAGAATTTTCTAATGAAACTCAGAAAAGACAAAGAAATAAGCAAATATGCCAATTTATTGATCACAACTGGAAGTATATCTGCATAGGTACTCATGTTAGTCAATATATTCTTTACTCTGGAAATTCATGTGATAAGGCTATAGTTATTTATTGTCTTGAGATGGGAACTTACTGTGTTGCCTAGGCTGGTTCAGGTTCCCAGAGCTGGGACTATTGACATGTACCATCATCATGTATGGCTGACAGACTGTATTAAAAAAAAAAAATCAGAAGATTGGCAAATACGGTATCAAAGAAGGAGAAATAAAGCAGGAAATTGGATGAGCTTTCTTTATAAGGACGAGTTATACATGCTGAGTCCCATTCTCTTTCATCCCTACCTCAAAGACATGATAGATCACTTCATGGCCTGATCTCCCTGGTGCTGGGAATTGACTCCAGGGCTTTGCATGTGGTATGCACGCTACCACTGAATTTCAGGTGCTCCCTTTTATTTGCTCTAATAGCATGTATGTACTTCTGATCTCCCAAACTTGATTTGTGTTTTCTGTATGTGTTTTAGGAATTGAATCTAAGACTTCACACATGCTAAGCATGTGTTCTATTACTCAGCTTGTTTAAAAATTTTTTTTTATTGTTAAGATATTATACAGAAGGGTTACAGTTACATGAGCAAGGTAATGAGTACATTTCCTATCGAGTACATTTTCCTTCCCTCTCCAACCCCCCAATCCCCCCAACCCCGAAGTTGTAAAGTTCGTTTTCAACATAGTGTCTTGTGGGCTGGGAAGGTGGCTCTGGTAGAGCACTTGCCTTGTATGCATGAGGCCCTGGGTTCGATTCCTCAGCACCACATAAGCAAAAAGAAAAAAGCCAGAAGTGGCACTGTGGCTGAAGTGGTAGAGCGCTAGCCTTGAGCTGAAGAGCTGAGGGACAGCGCCCAGGCCCAGAGTTCAGGCCCCACGACCGGACACCCCCCCAAAAAAAAAATTAAAATAAAAATAAACATCAACTCAACATAGTGTCTTGTACATCTCATCACTCAACTTTTTAAAGATCAAGATTTATTCTCTTATTCTTTATGATTCAACCTTACTATTCATTATAGGGTATAAATATTTTTAGGTAAGCAAATATAATTAATTTTAGTCATAGTTGCCTGAGCTTGTCCAAATGTGATCTTTATTTCATCTTTGACTATACTATTTAGCAGATATCTCTGACATACTTAAATTCATACGAAACATTTTCACTTGCCAAGTATTATGTGCAAATACACTATAACCTAGTGGTTAGAGCATGCTGATGCCAGACTGCCTGGGTTCAAGTTCTGTGTATCCACTGTGACCTTAGCTGTGTATTTTGATTCTTCTTCCTCAATTTCTCCATTTGTAAAATGAGAGACAACGTATAGGGTGTTGTATTAATACACACTGAAAGCTTAGGGCTGTGCTTGAATTACCTAGTTTATCTCATTTAAAAACTTACATGCCTTAGGAGTGGTTGATACTCCTGTTTTATATATAAGGAAACCAAATACAGGAGGTTTCTCATGTTCTAGGTCACATAGCTCATAAGGTGGTAACACCAGGCTCAGCCCATATCCAGTTTAGTTGGATTTATTTAATTTCATATTAGTTAGAAAACATGTTTATGTTGTTGGTATATATATTTAACTCACATTAAAAAGTGAAGTGACTAACATGTAGGTAATAACATTACATTATTTTCCAGGTGTATGTTTTATTTGGAACTGATTTTACTTTATTTTTTTCTTTAAGCTGCTAGCCTATGGGGTCCTTACAAAGACATTTGGCAGACAGTTGGAAATGCTCTTTGGAGAAGACAACCTGAAGCTGTCCACCTTCTTGACATGATTTTGAAGAAACACAAACCTGATTTCATCTCCTTATTCAGAAATCCAGTAGGAAATTTCTTTTTTTTCTTAGATTTGTTTCTTTTTCTTCTAAGGGATTGAAAGAGCAAGTAAACTCTAATGCATATAAATAAATTTTGTTGCTTCAACTATTCTAGTGATTCTTTTTCTTTTAAAATGTAATTTTTTTTCCTGGGAGCACTTACCATTTTTTCTTTTTAACCACTACGTAATACAGAGAAGTTTCAATTCATAAATCAGTTTATAAGTACAGTTCATCTTGATCAATGTCACCATTTTCATGTTTTCTATAGAATTTACTATTGCATTTTTTGGGGGGAAGGGGGTTGGTCCTGGGCTTGAACTTAGGGCCTGGGTGCTGTCCCTGAGCTCAAGGCTAGTTCTACCACTTTGAGCCACAGCTCCACTTCTGGTTTTCTGATGGTTAATTGTTGATGAGTCATATGGACTTTTCTGCCGATGCTGGCTTTGAACCACAATCCTTAGTTCTCAGTCTCCTAAATGGCTAGGATTACGGGTGTGAGCCACCAGTGCCTGGCCTACTATTGAATTTATAGTATTCAAGGGTGAGCTTCATAATACTTGATGATTTGTGAAATTGAGTATAGTTTAAAAATGCTAGCTAATAACTACATTAGAATTCTGAATGATAACATAAGTCGCCTTAGCCAGGTATAGTGATACATGCCTATAATCCCAGCACTTGGGAGGTAGAGGCAGGAGAATCGATGTGTAACTAAATTCTATTACCCTAAAGCAAAACCAGACACAAAAAGCCTTGAGTTTGGAAGGTTATTTTCAGATACTGGAACTAATATGTGTCACTAATCACTTTATCTTGAAATCCTTTGTAACTAGAAGTAGTGAGTGGAGAAGATTCAAATATAGAACCCCTTTTCTTGCTGATTGACAGTTCTTTTATATATAAATATAATCATCTAGAAACAACTGCAGGATTGTATTATAAGAAATCACCTTTTGCTTTTTAGCTTTTTTTTTTTGCCTTCCTTTAGAAGAAAGCTGGGGAGCCAGTGGAACTGAGTTCTAGTCTTGATTCTACCACTAGAGAATTTTAAGACTAGGATGAATTATCTGACTTAGCTGGGTATCATTTTCTAATCTGTAATAGAAGAGCTAGGTTAAATGATTTACACAGCCTCTAAAAAAAAAAAATCTAAGCCAGCGGCCCATAGCTCATGCCTGTAATCCTAGCTACACTGGAGGCTGAGATCTGAGGATTATGGTTCAAAGCTAGACCTAGCAAGGAATTCCTGAGACTCTTATCTCCTATAAACCACAGGAAAACCAGAAGTGGTGCTATGGCTCAAGTGGTAGAGTGCTTGCCTTGAGCTGAAGAGCTCAGAAAAAGTGCCTAGGCCCAGAGTTCAAGTTCCATGACTGACAAAAAAAAAAAAAAAAAAATCTAGGAAGTAGTTCTGTGGCTCAAAGTGGTAGAGTGCTAGCTTTAAGCATAAGTGCTCAGGGGCAGTGCCAGGTCCTGAGTTCTAAACCCATGACCCCCCCCTCCCCCCAAATCTAAACTTTTAAGATTTGTAATCTATCAGATAAATCTGTACTATATACTATATACTTAATACTTTGTGTGCTGGAAGTGAGGCTTGAACTCAGGACCTGGTGCTCACACTTACTTTTTTGCCCAGTGATAGCTCATTACCACTTGAGCCATAAATTCACTTCCCATTTTTTACTCGTTAATTGTAGAAAAGAGTCTTCTGGACATTTCTGCCTGGGTTGGCTTTAAATAAGGATCTTCAGCTCTTTACCTTCTGAGTAGCTAGGATTATAGGCTTGAGCAACTAGCACTTGACTCAATTATTAAATACTTGTATTGAAGAAACTTTTAGGAAATGAAGCTACATCTAAAGTATGGTTCACTCTTCTGAGTAATTCAACAATTCCTGTGCCCATTTGTTAGAAGTTTGAAGAACTTGAAATTTTTCTTTGTTAGGCATATAATTGGACAAACTCCTTGGAAAATTGAAATATAGAAGGCTATTTTGTGTTTTCTTTAAATTTTTTATGTGTTCTCTAAATTTTATAGTTCAGTTTAGCAGAAAATTTATTGAAAATGTAGTAGTAGGAGGAAGAGGATTAAAAAGTTAAAGGTAAGCCAAGTGCCCGTGGCTCATGCCTGTAATCCTAGCTACTCAAGGGGCTGAGATCCTGCCAGCCTAGGCAGGAAAGTCCTTGAGACTCTTCTCTCCAATTAGCCACCAGAAAACCAGAAGTGGCACTGTGGTTCAAGTGGTAGAGCGCTAGTACAAGATGTTACTTCATAAAGGTCCATTTCTAGAGCAGATGATATGGAGTACTTCAGTTTGTCTGGTCACTATCCTGCATAAACAGCTGACGCAGTGCTTTAGGACCTTGTCTCTGTTGTACTGTTTTCATTACTTGATTAGAATTTTATCATTCTAGCCAAAGAATGTTCAACAGCATGAGAAGGTCCAGAAAGCCAGTACAGAGGGAGTTGCCATCCAGGGTCAACAGGGAACCCGACTTCTTCCTGAACAGCTCATTAAAGAAGCCTTTATTCTCAGCGACCTTTTCGATATTGGAGAATTGGCAGCTGTGGAGCTTCTCCTTGCTGGTAGGTTGACATTTAATTGATGCTTTTCAGGAGTGCAGAATTACACTCAATGCACACATAGTTTAAAATCTTAGATGGTATAAATTCAAAAATAGTCTTTTATTTTTATTTTTGCCAGTTATGGGGCCTGAACTCTGGGCTTGGGAGCTGTCCTTCTGCTCTTCAGCTCAAGGCTAGTGCTCTACCACTTGAGCCACAACGCCACTTCCAGCTTTTTCTGCTTATGTGGTGCTGCGGAATTGAACCTAGGACCTCATGCATGCACTTTACCACTGAGCCACCTTCCCAGCCCTTATTTTTATTTTTTGGTAGTATTTATTTTTTTTGCGGGGGGGGGGGGGGGGTGTCCGGTCGTGGGGCCTGAACTCTGGGCCTGGGCGCTGTCCCTCAGCTCTTCAGCTCAAGGCTAGCACTCTACCACTTGAGCCACAGCGCCACTTCCGGCTTTTTTCTTATGTGGTGCTGAGGAATTGAACCCAGGGCCTTGAGCATTCGAGGCAAGTGCTCTACCACTGAGCCACCTTCTCAGCCCTTATTTTTATTTTTTGCAAAATAATTTTTTTTTCAGTCGTGGGGCTTGAACTCTGGGCCTGGGCGCTGTCCCTCAGCTCTTCAGCTCAGAGCTAGCACTCTACCACTTGAGCCACAGCGCCACTTCCTTGCAAAACAATTTTTAAGGATGCAGTTCATTTGACAAAACTGTATTCAAAATTATTATTTCCTTTTGCTTACTTTTGATTAAAGTAAAGGTGTTAATGTTCATAGTTGTTAATGTTAATTATCTGTTTTACGGTAGGTAGCCTTTTCCATGTTAACTTAAAAGTGGCTTCATCTCCAGAGTTTTGTAGTACAAATCATATATTGTCAAATATTGGTAGGATAGTAAGGTCATGTTTTGGAGGCATGATTCGGATAATGCATGCCTATGTAAAAAGTAAGAAACTTTCAGTAACAATGACTCATAGAAAAAAAGTGAAACAAGGCATTGGTCCATAGGTGAGATCTGGCTGGGGTAATTCTAATTAGGGTATTTGGGGAAGTTCTTTCTGAGATAGAGACATTTGTGCTGAGACCTAAATGGTGAGGTGGTACCAGCTAAACAGCCCTGTTGGGGAAGGGTGTTTCTGGCACATCAAGTACCAGGTGGTTAAAGTGGGGGCAAAGGCTTGTTGTAGCACAAAAAGACAGCTGGGCTAGGGCATCATCGTGAATGAGGGAGAGCATATAGAAGGAAGTCAGATTGTATTGGGTATTGTAGGCCATGAAACTTAATTGGATTTTACTTGTTTTATGAAAAGTTGTTGATAATGAAGAATAACTTTGGAAGAACAATTTTGAAATTAAATTGTGGCTGCACAGAGGCGGTGTTTGAAGAAAACATGCTTTCTGAACAAATGTTTAAAGGGGCTAAAGATATGTAGCTATATAAATCCTATTTGACTTAAGAGAATGAGGAAGATGTTTTCTTTTCTGGAAGGGGGATGTTAACTCAGAACTTAAGAAACATTTCTTCTATATCAAGCACTGTAAATATAAAGAGTAAAGCAGTATAAAGGAGCACTCAGTCTACTAACTAAAAAGATGTGCACACAATTTTGACATAACTCATTGTATTCAAGTTTGTGTATGATTTAGTGATGGTCAGTAGGAAGGGGATTATAGAGATATCTTTGCAAAGATCGTGAAGCATGTGTTGCAAAAGGAATAGGCAGCTATCTCATGCAATAGGGTATAGTCAGGAGGACAGACGCCATCAAGTTGGAGGAAATGTCTGTCCAGGAGAGAAAAGCAAGGTGATGAACTTGGGAAGATGAAGGGAGTGCAATGGAGAGGTCATTGGAGAAGGAGGGAAGAAAGCTGTAGGAGTCATACTGAAAATATAGGAAAGGAACTCTAAAAAAGACCAAGTTGATAAGAGCCGATTAAAAGGATGAGGGAAGCCGGGCGCCAGTGGCTCACGCCTGTAATCCTAGCTACACCGGAGGCTGAGATCTGAGGATTACGGTTCAAAGCCTTGAGCTGAAGAGTGCAGGGACAGCGCCCAAGCCCAGAGTTCAAGCCCCACGACCGACAAAAAGGATGAGGGAACTTGAACTGAAAAAAAGATAGTTCAGGGAAGACTAGGAGAAGAAACTTCCAAATATTTGAAAGATTTCATGTGAGTAAAAATAAAATGGGTATTGGATAAAATTGTAACAGTAGGCAAAAAGGGGCAACATAGTGTGTATAAATGAGAGAGGTAATGGAAATTGGGTGAGTTGGAAAGTGGAGAACGTCAGGTTGCTGCTGGTATTATTTGGGCATGGTCTAGATGGTCCTGTAAATCTGCTGACAGGAGGGAATCAGTGGATGGGGAAAGAAGAGAACTGTCCCAAAGGGTTCCCTACACTGAGATCCTATGGTTCTTTGACCCGGGTATTGATAGAGGGATTTCTGCCTAATCAATGCATTTGTGGTTATTTATTGAATTATTTCTCAATTTCCTTTCCTAGGAGAGCACCAACAGCCACATTTTCCTGGTCTCACCAGAGGATTAGTAGCTGTTCTTTTATATTGGGATGGAAAGCGGTGCATTTCGAATTCCCTGAAAGCTTTGGTACAGTCTAGACGAGGAAAGACATGGACTCTAGAACTCAGGTCTGTTTGCTTCTTCAGTTTTTAGAGGGTAATTTAATTGAAGAATTGCTACTTTAGAAATAAAAATTTCTACTTTTTGTATGTAATTTCAGTGAAATACATAAGGTGAGTAATATGCTCCTTTATTCTATCAGGAATAACACACAGTTTTAAACCTGCTTATTTTGTTTATAGCTAAGTAATTATATTTAGAAACTTCTTTAATCTTAATGACCTGGAAAGGATAAAAAACTACACTGCAGTTTATCCTGGTTGTTTTGCTATGTCAATTATTGTAAGGAAGTATAAACATCATTGTTCAATATTGCCTTTGTTTATTTCCTTTTCATTACAGTCCAGAGCTGGTCTCTATGACAACACGCTTTACAGATGAGCTGATGGAGCAAGGATTGACTTATAAAGTTCTTACTCTGTTGTCACAGATTGATGTGAATAATGAATTTGAGAAACTGCAGCGAGAGAGAGGATTGGGCAGTGAGAAACATCGTAAAGAGGCACGACATCAATTCATGTGTTGTCCTTTTCAAATTTTAGAACACTTCTGACAGTTTGAATATCTTTGGCCAGATGCAGTGGTTCACACCTATGATTCCAGCTACTCAAGAGGTCTTTACCTCCTGAGGGAGGATCACAGCTCGTTGCCAATCTGGGCAAAACATTTGCCATATTTCCATCTTAATGATCTAGATATGACATTTGTAATACAAGCTACATAGGAGGCATAATTAGGAAACTTGTGGTCTAAAACATGAGACTTGAAAAATGGGAGCATGTGCAAGGGGTAGAATGCCTATCTAGCAATTACAAAGTCTATTTTCAAACACCAGTGCCACAAAAAAGGAAAAAAAAGAATGTTCTTGTCAGGTAAACAAAAGAAACAACGCTGCACTTTGAAGTATGTAGTGGCTGTGTCTGAGATCCATTGGCAATTGTTATATATAGTCATTTATGTGCCATTGTAAGTTTTTTTTTTCCTGAAATGAATTCTTCAAGGAATCAGTCACTGCATTTCTTTCTTTCTTTTTTTTTTGGCTTGAACTCTGGACCTGTGCACTGTCCCTCAGCTCTTCAGCTGAGTCTAGCGCTCTACCACTTGAGCCACTGCGCCACCTCTGGTTTTCTGGCCGTTAATTGGAGATAAGAGTCTCATGGACTTTCCTGCCTGGGCTGGCTTTGAACTGTGATCCTCAGATCTCAGCCTCCTGAGTAGCTAGGATTACAGGCGTGAGCCACCGTTGCCCAGCAGTCACTGCATTTCTTTTTTTGTTTGTTTGTTGGTCATGGGGCTTGAACTCTGGGCTTGGGTGCTGTCCTTGCACTCTTCAGCTCAAGGCGAGCGCTCTACCACTTGAGCCATAGAGCCACAGCGCCACTTCCAGTTTTCTAGTGCTTTATTGCAGATAAGAGTCTCACGGACTTTCCTGCCCTTTCCTGCCCGGGGATGGCTTTGAACTGTGATCCTCAGATCTCAGCCTCCTGAGTAGCTAGGATTACAAGTGTGAGCCACCAGGGCCTAGTCACTGCATTTCTTAAGTAATTTAAGCATAAAGAATTAGAAATAGGATTTGTTCAGAATGCCAGAATTCCAGAGATGAGGTATTAGATAATGTGAATTTAGATAGGTTTATTGTTTTAGCCCTAATAAGGAAGGCCTGGGTGGTATCCTTGAGCTTTTGTGCTCAAGGTTAGTGCTGGACCACTGAGCCACAGCTGCACTTACAGCTTTTTGATGGTTAATTGGAGATAAATCTCACAAACTTTCATGTCCCAGTTGGCTTCTAACCATGATCCTTAGATCTCATCCTTCTGAGTAGCTAGGGTTATAGGCATGAACCAGCAGTACTTGGCAGTAGTTTTCATTTTATTTGACCAGGCTTCACTGTGATTTATTTACACTGATCATGTTTTCATTTCTAGGTTTCTGATCTCATTAAGGAGTGTAGACAGTCTCTGGCAGAAAGTCTTTTTGCCTGGGCTTGCCAGTCTCCATTAGGCAAAGATGATACTCTCCTCCTTATTGGACATTTGGAAAGAGTGACAGTTGAGGCTAATGGCTCTCTGGATGCTGTGAATCTGGCTCTTCTTATGGCTCTTCTGTACTGTTTTGATATCAGTTTTATAGAACAAAGCACTGAAGAACGAGATGGTATTGAATTTTATATTTTTAATACATTTTATTTCTTTGAGACCTGTGTGTTACCCAGCTTGATACTGATCTAGAAATGCTGCCTCAGTCCCCTAAGTGCTGAGATTATACCATGCATTTACTTTTAAAAATCAGATCCTAAATTGTGGAGTTAACATTTAAGAAGGCAGTATTTTAATTGCTAAAATTCACAGAGGTCTGTTTTGTTCCTGTGTGTGTGCTTTATCCTTATTTGAGTATTTAGTCAAAAGATCATATTTAATTCTAGAGATGTAGCTCAGTAATGGAAGGTTTGCTTAACACGTATGCTACTCTGATTTACAGTTATCACCAAAAAAAGTTATTTGTTCCTGTTGGTTTTTTTTAAACATTTGAATGGAGATGTTAAAAACTATATACCACAAATATATGTTACATAAGCCTAATTTGCTGTAATTACTTATTTCTCTACCATTCACATTTTGAAAATTTTCAGGAGAACATAGGATGCTGACTGATTTGTAATAGTGTTTCATCTTTGATTTTTCATTGCATAGAATCAATATTTTGATCATTAGATAGCATTTATTTGTACTTCAGAACTTTTGGAGAAAATGGGTGACTCTTTTCTAATTTATATTAGACTTATGAAAATAACCAAAATTATTTAAAATAGAAGGCTACTGTTTGTCCGTTTTATGTATCAACAGTGCTGAATAATTATGTCTTTTACGATATGTCAAACATTAACGTTACTTACTTGAAATTGTTCAGATTTTCTGACCTTCAGACGTTAATCCCTTGTATCAAAAGTGAGAATTTATGCACTTTGGGGTTTGTGGTCTGTTCTTGTGTTTTCAGATGTGATTCATCAGCTTCCACTATTGACAGAGAGGCAGTACATTGCAACAATTCACTCTCGTCTTCAGGACTCTCAGCCTTGGAAACTTCCTGGGCTTCAAGCCACTATTAGACTTGCTTGGGCACTGGCTTTGAGGGGAATATCTCAGTTACCTGATGTGACAGGTAAAGTATAGGTGATTGTGTCTCAAGAAACATCGTATCAGTCATTAAGAAACTAGAGGGGAAATTATACATGAAATTTTGTAAATTGGCAGTGAAATAGACACCTTTTTCCCTTATCTGAAAAGAAACTGTATAAATTATTTCTCATTTTTGAGTCTTGTGACAAAGCTTTTTTATCTTTAGAGTAAGAGTTTATATATATATATATATATATATATATATATATATAAACTCTTACTCTAAAGGTATATACATATATATATATATATACACACATATATATAAAGGTATATATATATATATATATATATATATATATATACACACACACACACACACACACACACACTTTTTTTTTTTTTTTTTTTTTGGTCGGTCGTTGGGCTTGGGCGCTGCTGTCCCTGAGCTCTTCAGCTCAAGGTGAGCTCTCTATCGCTTGAGCCACAGCGCCACTTCCAGTTTTCGAGTGGTTTATTGGAGATACAAGTCTCATGGACTTTCCTGCCCGGGCTGGCTTTGAACATCGATCCTCAGATCTCAGCCTCCTGAGTAGCTAGGGTTATAGATGTGAGCCACTGGCTTCTGGCTATTTATATTTTTTATGCCAGTGCTAGGGCTTAAACTTAAGGCCATGGCTCTGTCTCTTACTTAGCCTGTTCCTCAAGATCAGTGCTCTGTCACTTGAGCCACAGCTATAATTTTGGCTTTTTGAAGGTTAATTGGAAATTAGTGCATTGGACTTTTCTGGACAAGCTGGCTTTGAACTCATTCCTCATATCTCAGCCTCCTGAGTAATTAGGATTACCAGTGTGAGCTACCAGTGCCTAGCCTAAAATAAGATTTTAAAAGTTTAAAATTAAAAATGGTGCCAGTCACCAGTGGCTCACATCTGTAATACTAGCTACTCAAGAGACTGAGATCTGAGGATTATGGATTAAAGCCTGGACAAGAAAGTCTGAGACTCTTCTCTCCCATTACCACCTTCCTCCCCCCTCAAAAAAGCTGGAAGTAGTGTTGTAGCTAAAGTGGAAGAGAGCCAGCCTTAAGCAAAGCAGCTCTGGACAGTATCCAAGGCCCTGAGTTCAATCTCCAGGACTGCCAAAAGAAAAATAAATGAAAATAAAATTCAAGTTGACAATATCACTTTTTTTTTTTTTTTTTTGGGTCCGGTCGTGGGGCCTGAACTCTGGGCCTAGGTGCTGTCCCTCAGCTCTTCAGCTCAAGGCTAGCGCTCTACCACTTGAGCCACAACGCCACTTCCGGCTTTTTTCTTTTTGCTTCTGTGGTGCTGAGGAATCGAACCCAGGGCCTCATGCATGCAAGGCAAGCACTCTACCACTGAGCCACCTTCCCAGCCCCAATATCACTTATTTTAGTGGTGGGGATTGAATAGGCTTTAGTCTCACATATATTATATGCTGTGCAAGTACTCTACCACTGAGCTAAATCCTTGGCTCTATATTTAAAAAAAATTAGTATTTTATATATTTTCCATCTTGATTTGTTCACATTGTATCAAATTAAAAATTTCCTATTTTAAAATATATAAGTAGCAGGTACAAGTGGTTCATACCTGTAAATCCTCCCTACTCAGGAGAATCTGATGATAGCAGTTTGAAGCAATGCTGGCCAAGAAAGTCTGCTCCAATTAACAAGTAAATAAAAGTTGTAGGTAGAATTGTGTGGCTCAAGTCTTACCCGGGCCCCAAATTCAAGCCCCAGAACTGGAACAAAAACTGTATTAAAAGATTATTTGGAACAATCGAGAATAGTCAGGAAAATTTTGACAGTCTATATAGCATATTGTATTCTGTTTTTTGCATTCATATAGTTATCATATTAATAGAGTACTGCCTTCCAAAATGCAAATTATGCTTTCATTGTAATTTGAAGTCTAAAAATTATCACTGCTGTTTTTGTGTCACATGTTTTAAGGCTTTGTTCAAGCTTACAATCCATGCCTTACGTTTTCTAGTCTTAGTAGATATCAGCAGATTCCAGTATCTTATCAACTGTGCAATTGCAGAACATTTTGTTCAATAGTATCAGACTGTTTCTAAGGGGTTTTCAGAAATCTTGGGAGCCAGGCTCCAGTGGCTCACGCCTGTAATCCTAGCTACTCAGAAGGCTGAGATCTGAGGATCATGGTTCAAAGCCATCATGGGCAGGGAAGTCCATGAGCCTTTTTTTTTTCCTGGTTGGTCGGTCGTGGGGCTTGAACTCTGGGCCTGGGCGCTGTCCCTCAGCTCTTCAGCTCAAGGCAGGTGGTCTACCGCTTATGCCACAGCGCCACTTCCTGTTTTCTAGTGGTTTATTGGCGATAAGAGTTTCACGGACTTTCCTGCCTGCCGGGGCTGGCTTTGAACCACGATCTTCAGATCTCAGCCTCTTGAGTAGCTAAGATTACACACGTGTGAGACTTTTATCTCCAATAAACCACTCGAAAACCAGAAGTGGAACTGTGCCTCAAGAGGCACTGTGGCTCAAGCGGCACTGTGGCTTATGCGGTAAAGTGCTGGCCTTGAACTGAAGAGCTGAAGGACAGCCCCTAGGCCCAGAGTTGAAGCCCCATGACCGACCAAAAAAAAAAAAGCAACTATTAGACACTTAGATTTGTACATTTATATACAAATTCTCTTCATCAGTCCTACATACCCTTTTCACTTTTCACTACTCTTTAAACATTTATGTGGTGAGGCTACCTGGATTATATACATTTTTTTGACCTTATTCAAGGCAATAAAAATGCATTTTCAGTAATGTACTATATATTTGATTTCTTTGATAGGCCAGCCGAACAAACTGTGTAGCACTTCTTTTTCAAAGTCAGATTGCTATAAAATGACCTAGCAATTTTATATTTGAAACTTAACAGAAATTATCAGCAATGTATTTTTTTTTTTTTTTTGGGTCCGGTCGTGGGTCTAACTCTGGGCCTGGGCGCTGTCCCTCAGCTCTTCAGCTCAAGGCTAGCGCTCTACCACTTGAGCCACAGTGCCACTTCCGGCTTTTTTCTTTTTGCTTATGTGATGGTGAGGAATCGAACTCAGGGCCTCAGACATGAAGGCAAGCGCTCTACCACTGAGCTACCTTCCCAGCCCTGATTCTGAATTTTTGTTGAGTCTGTCCTAAGCACTGTTGCACTCTTCCATCAAGAAATACACTGCTGAGGGGCTGGGAAGGAGGCTCAGTGGTAGAGCACTTGCCTTGCATGCCTGAGGCCCTGAGTTCAATTCCTCACCACCACATAAGCAAAAAGAAAAAAGCTGGAAGTGGCACTGTGGCTCAAGTGGTAGAGCGCTAGCCTTGAGCTGAAGAGCTGAGGGACAGCGCCCAGGCCCAGAGTTCAGGCCCAATGAATGGACACAAAACAAAAAAAAAAACAAAAAGAAAAAACAAAAATTCAGAATCAGACCAGACCTCTCTAGATCAAACTACCAGACTTTGCTATATGTAGAGGAAGGATGGTCTGTGTTGCTGGGTTGCAGTGTCATACCACATTGTGGGCAAAACCTATGGGACCAAAAAAAACAGTTTCTTAAGTAATGGGAAAGCAAAAAAGATGTATGGAAGTCTACAGATGGATCAGTTATTGCAGTTTTTGCTCTTTTTTTTTTTTTTTGGTTAGTCCTGGAACTTGACCTCAGGGCCTGGGCACTGACCCTGAGCTTCTTTTGCTCAAGGCTACCATGCTACTACTCAAGCCATGGCACCACTTTGCCTTTTTCTGTATATGTGATATTGAGGAATTGAACCCAGGACTTCATGTGTAGTAGGCAAGCACTCTACCACTAAACCACATTCCCAGCCTGCAGCTTTTGCTTTATAGACCTTATTTGAGTATTTAAGCAAGTAGATGACAAAAGATAAACTGCAAAAAACTTGTCATGGCATTTATGAAAGAAACAGTTGTAAATTTGAGCATTACTTGTGCATATTTGAAATTGAGAATTATTTTTTTCATTTATTTATTTTTATTGTGAAAATACTGTACAGAGGGGTTACAATTACATGGGCAAGATAATGAGTACATTTCTTATCAAGCATTGTAGCCTCCTCCTTTGTTTCTCCTTCCCATCCTTTCCCATCATCCCCCCTGGCCCCCCACCCAATCCTCCCCCCCCCCCACCAAAGTTGTAAAGTTTGTTTTCGACATAATGACTTGTACATCTCATGAGAAATTATTTTTTAAGAGGTGATAATAGTATTGTGTACATTTCTATGGTTTGTTTCTTAAGTATCTTTTTGAGTTGCATCTTGACATACTTAATGGGAAAGTGTTAAAATGTCTGAAATTTGCTTCAGTGTAATAATGCGAATGGAGAGGAGAAATATTAACTAAATTGATAATACTAAAATGAAATGATGGCTTTGTGGATATCATGTTATTCTGATGATATAGCTGTTTGAAATTTTCCAAGTAAAGCATATAAAAGATTACAGGTAGTCCAGTTTATGTTTAAGGGTTTAGCTACTTGATTACCAAATTAATAGTTATTTAACTCATCGTGTCTAGGTTTCTGGTCTTTATTGATTGACTTGAAGATTTTTTTTTTTTTTTTGGTTGGTCCTGGGGCTTGAACTCTGGGTTTGGGCGCTGTCCCTGTGCTCTTCAGCTCAAGGCAAGTGCTCTACCGCTTGAGCTACAGTGCCACTTCCAGTTTTCTAGTGGTTTTATTTGGAGATAAAAACGGACTTTTCTGCCTGGACTTTTCTGCCTGGGCTGGCTTTGAACTGCGATCCTCAGATCTCAGCCTCCTAAGTAGCTAGGATTACAGGCGTGAGCCACCGGCGTCTGGTGAGATTTTTTTTTTTTTTTTGGTCAGTCATGGGGCCTGAACTCTGAGCCTGGGCAATGTCTCTCAGCTCTTCAGTTCAAGATTAGTGTTGTACCACTTGAGCCACAGTACTACTTCCAGCCTTTTCTGCTTATGTGGTGCTGAGGAATCAAACCCAAGGTTTCATGCATGCTAGGCAAGCACTCTACCACTAAGCCACCTTCCCAGCACAAGTTTTTTTTTTTTTACCAGCAATTCATTGGGAGCTGGGCCCTGGTGGCTCATGTCTTTAATCCTAGCTACTCTGGAGGCTGAGCTCTGAGGATCACAGTTCAAAGCCAGCCCTGGCAGAAAAGTCTGTGAGACTTTATCTCCAATAAACCACTAGAAAACCAGAAGTGGTGCTGTGGCTCAAGTGGTAGAGCGCTCACTTGGAGCTAAAGAGCACGGGGATAGTACCCAGGCCCAGAGCAAGCCGACCAAAAAAAAAGGGGCTGGGAAGGTGGCTCAGTGGTAGAGCGCTTGTCTTACATGCATGAGGCCCTGGGTTCAATTCCTCAGCACCACATAAGCAAAAAGAAAAAAGCTGGAAGTGGCGCTGTGGCTCAAGTGGTAGAGCGCTAGCCTTGAGCTGAAGCGCTGAGGGACAGCGCCCAGGCCCAGAGTTCAAGCCCCACAACCGGGCCCAAAAAAAAAAAAAGAAAAGAAAAAGAATTTATTGGGATTAAAGCCTCAGTGTCATTTTAATGTATTAATGTTTGGTTAGTAGTTCTCTGACAACGTCTGTTAACATTAAACATCTCTAAAATAATCTTCATCGCTCATATTATTAAGAAGAACATGTTTTTCTAATGTACTTTTTCAGAAGTTCTTTAGAGTTTACATCAATTACAGTGGTTCATGGTTTATTTTTATACATGATCTAGTAGAAATTTGAGAAGTATCAAATTCAACCTAATTCAATGAACTTCCTCTGCTTTTTCTTTGATGTATTTCTAGCTTTGGCTGAATTCACAGAAGCAGATGAGGCAATGGCAGAACTTGCAATTGCTGATAGTGTTTTCCTGTTCCTTACTGAGTCTGTAGTGGTGTCCGAAAACTTCTATCAAGAGGAATTTTATATCCGAAGAACTCATAACCTCATCACAGATTTCCTGGCACTCATGCCAATGAAGGTAAGTGTCATACTGTATGTATGTCTAGTAAAAATTAATGAGCATTTTGTAAAATAATTTTAAACTAATTTATTAACTCTGTTTTAGAAGCTAAATCTTTTAATATAGACTAAAATTTCACAGCAGCATATTACAATTACAGCTTGTGGCTTATAAAAATGAAATAATATTCCATTATAATATTCCATTATCTGAGAAGCTATTTAGAAGAAAAGTTGACATTATGAATGGTTTATAATAAGGAAGTAGTAACTAAATGACCATGTGTCTGTGTCTGTGAGTAGAAAACTACTAACTCCATGCCACTCAAAGATCTGTGCTTATTTAATACTATTAGTCCTCTTTGTCCATAGGCTCTACACTGCTGATTCACCAAACCTTCAATGAAAAATACTAGGAAAAAATTTATATCTGTAATTGAACATATATAGACTTTCCCCCCATTATTATTCCTTAATTAATACAGTAATTTACATAACATTTGCATTATATTATTGATCTAGAAGTGACGGAAAGCATGTGGGAAGATATGTATAGGTTCAGTTTGAATAGGATGCTATTATCTACTATTGAGACAGGTCTTACTATGTAGTCTACAATTTGCTCTGTAGCCCAGGCTGGCTTTGAAATTATGATCTTCGTGCTTTAACATTCTGAATGCCACCATGCTTGGCTAATACATTATTTTATGTAAGAGATTTGAGAATACATGATGTTGGTGTTCGTGAAGGGTGGTGGAACTAATCCTCCATGAGTACTGAAGGACAACTGTATATTTGTTCATGATTTGAAGAGACACAGTGGGAAAATAATTGTGTGGAAAACTTTTTTCTGCATGAGCCATTTGGTATGTGATGTTTGCTGGTATTGATGTTTATGTTGCTATGAAAAAAGCTAGGTTTATTGAATTTTGAAGTCCTGCCTATAGTTTCTTTAGCAATACCAGATCAAATGATTTTGAGTGGCTATGTGACCCTCAGGCCAGATATTACCCTCTCTTAGTTATTAGATTCTTAATTGCAGAGAGCAAGTGTGTGTGTGTGTGTGTGTGTGTGTGTGTCTTAGTTATTAGATTCTTAATTGCAGAGAGCAAGTGTGTGTGTGTGTGTGTGTGTGTGTGTGTGTGTGTGTGTCTTAGTTATTAGATTCTTAATTGCAGAGAGCAAGTGTGTGTGTGTGTGTGTGTGTGTGCGCGCGTGTGTGTGTGTGTGTGTGTGTGTGTGTGTATCAGCATAAGTACAGATAATCTCAAAGATCTAAGAAGCTAATATAGGGGCTGGGAAGGTGGCTCGGTGGTAGAGTGCTTGCCTTGCATGCCTGAGGCCCTGGGTTAGATTCCTCAGCACCACATAAGCAAAAAGAAAAAAGCCGGAAGTGGTGCTGGAGCTCAAGTGGTAGAGCCCTAGCCTTGAGCTGAAGAGCTGAGGGACAGTGCCCAGGCCCAGATTTCAGGCCCCACGACCGGACCCCCCCCCCCCCCCAAAAAAAGAAGCTAATATAATGCTACATTTGGATAAATGTACTGGTGGTCCAAAAATCGGGTTTTAAAGCTATTTTAGAGAGCTTCTGTATGTTAGATGCTATGCCATTTTATGCAAAAGAAGCCATAAAAATGATGGTGGGATGTAAATGAGAGAAAAAATGACCTAAACTTTTTTTATTTTTTTTTTTTTATTTTTTATTTTTGTTATTATTATTTTTTGTCAGCCATGGGGATTGAACTCTGGGACTGGATGGTTTCCCTGAGCTCTTCAGCTCAAGGCAAGCACTCTACCACTTGAACCACAGCACCACTAATGGTTTTCTGGTGGTTATTTGGAGATGAGAATCTCACAGATTTTCCTTTCTGGGCTAGCTTTGAACTGCGATCCTCAGATTCAGCCTCCTGAGTAGTTAGGATTACAGGCGTGAGCCATTGGCGCTTGGTTTTCATGTGTATATTATAATGTTATGTGTTAATTAAAGAAAAGAAAATACCCTGGAGTGTCTGGTCTTGTAAAATATTGTGTAGGTCTAATGCAAAATACAAACGCAACTGGAAAAAGAACCATCATTAGTTTTTAGTTTAAATTTTCTGTGTTCTGAGAATATACTTACATTTGTTTTATGGATGAGACTATGGCTTTTCTTGGTAAGTATTCTGTGTGTGCCTGAAAGAAACATATAATCTATCATTTTGATGCGTGTTCTATAAATAATTAGGTCAAGTTACTTGCTTCTGTTGTTTAGTTTTTTCTGTTGATTTTATGTATATTTGTTTTATTGACTATTGATAGAAATGTTGAAATCTCTAATAATTGTGAATTTGTGTACCTATAAGTTGTTTTTAGTTTTTTGGTGAAAGAAGTAGTTTCTTATTTCTGTTGGCAATTACTTTATGCAATTGTCATAAGATAGAGGTTCTCAACTGTTCTTGTCATAATTTGTAGTGTATTACTACTAGTGTGTAGGTAGTTCTAGAAATGCTAAATTTCAGACAATAATTCAAGATAATCCAACCCATTGAAAACATATCCAAAATGTCAGTAATTTCTCCATTGAGAAGCATGGGTTAATCTCAGCTTCTACATTGTGGAAAATTCGTTGAAGTTTTCTTGAGCCACATCACTACTTCCAGCTTTTTCTGCTTATGTGGTGCCCTCTAACTGAGGGCCTCATACATACAAGGCAAGCACTCTACCACTGAGCCACCTTCCCAGACCCTATTTTATTTTATTCATTTATTTAATTAATTAAATTTTTTTGTCAGTTGTGGGGCTTGAACATGGCTAACATTCTACCACTTTGAGCCACAGTGCCATTTCCACTTTTCTGGTGGTTCATTGGAAATCAGAGTCTCACAGCCTTTCCTGCCCCGTCTGGCTTTGAACTATAATGCTTAAATCTCAGCCTCCTGAGCAGCTAAGATTTCAGCCGTGAGTCACTGGTCCTTGGCTGAAGTTTTAATGTATTATAAACTACTGGTAATAATATTGAAGTAAAATTCCTAGCCTTTTCCTTTTTTCTTTTCTTTTCTTTTTTCTTTTGCCAGTCCTGGGACTTGAGCCTCTTTGTGCTCAAGGCTAGCATTCTACCACTTGAGCCATAGGACCACTTCCAGCTTTTTCTTTTTATGTGGTATAAGCAATTGAACCTAGGGCTTCATGCATATTAGGCAAGCACTGTACCACTAAGCCACATTCCCAGACCTCCTAACCTATTTTTTAAGTCACTAAAGCTTAATAGGTATTAAAAGTATATTTTCCTTGAATGAAATTACTTTAAGACAGTTCCTTATTTCCTGATTTCATTATTACTAGCCATATATAAGATATTTGCATATTAAATCATGTGTGATTAAATAGGTGAAACAACTGAAGAATCGTGCAGATGAAGATGCACGAATAATTCACATGAGTGTGCAGATGGGTAATGACCCCCCTATTTCACTCAGAAGGGATCTGGAACACTTAATGCTCTTGGTAAGTCATTTTAGTGGTATCTTCTCATCTCTTCTTTCCATTTGTTTTCCTTTACTTTGGAAAATTTTATTCCTTATACTTGATATTCACAAGGGAATTCAATACTTTTTTTATGTCCCCCATAGTCTTTGCTTTCTCTTTGCAGATTGGTGAACTATATAAAAAAAATCCCTTTCATTTGGAGCTTGCCCTAGAATATTGGTGTCCCTCTGAGCCTTTGCAGACTCCCACTATCATGGGTTCTTATCTGGGCGTGGCTCATCAGAGACCTCCTCAACGCCAGGTGAGCTTTTAGGCTTTCTCCTTTCTGTACTCCAGTATGGTAAGTAAGAATTTTGAAAATGTTATTTTCAGATGGTACTGCTGTTAACTCAGATGAGCACTGCTCTGACCTTGAGAAATTTACATACTTCCTTATGACTTAAAAAACTTGAAACTATTAACATTTAACTTACTATCATTTTGGATTTTATGTAGTTAGGTCAGTTTACATACTAGATGGGTATCAAATTATTTGGAGCAGAGAAGTTTCTGGCCCTATAATGTATCACTTACTTGATTTCTATTGGTATTTTATTCTATTTGCTATAGTTTGTCAGTAACCAAAATACATAATTCGTATCAGGTTGGAAAAGGGGAAGTGTGAATGTTAAAGTAAAAAGTTTACAGCCTTAGAAGCTCTTTCTTATTTTTCTCCTGTTTCTGTGGCTTGAACTCTGTCTAGGTGCTGTCCCTGAGTTTTTGTGCTTAAGGTTAGTGCTCTATCTCTGAGCCACAGCTCATCTTGAGTAGCTAGTATAATAGGTCTGAGCTACCAGTGTCCACCTGGCTTATTTTTAATTGATAGTATCATGTCTGTGAGTCTTCCAGATAATGTAAAGCAAGAGGCCATTTTCTGTGGCTATATCTGGGATTTCTGTTTAGAAGTTTCTATGGTGTGGAGTTTTCATGTTTTCTGCCTTCTAGCATCAGAAGCCTCCTTATATTTTAGTGCATTCTTATCCAAGTTTTAGCTTTTTCCATTAAGGAAAATATTTCATAGAAGAGTATGTTAAAAACTTTTGTGTGTGTGTGTGTTTTTTTTTGTGTGTGTGTTGGTATTGGGGCTTGAACTCAGGGCCGGGGTGCCACTTTCTTAGCTTTCTCCTCAAAGCTGGCACTCTACCATTTGAGCCACACCTCCATTTCCAGCTTTTTGACTGGTTAATTGGAGATAAGAATCTCAAGGACTTGGGGCTGGGAAGGTGGCTCAGTGGTAGAGCACTTGCCTTGCATGCCTGAGGCCCTGGGTTTGATTCCTCAGCACCACATAAGCAAAAAGAAAAAAGCCGGGCTCTTTCTCTCTCTGTTCGTTTCTAGCTCTTGCTCTTCTTTTCTAGCTCTCTCTGCTACTCTCTATCCCTCTTGCTGTTCTTTTCTATCTCTCTCTCTCTCTCTCTTGCTCTTCTTTTCTAGCTCTCTTGCTCTTGCTCTTCTTTTCTAGCTCTGTCTGCTCTCTCTCTGCTCTAGCTCTTTCCTCTCTCTTTCCCAGCCACGTGGAGTGCCAACCTTGCCTGGTCCCAGCAGGTCCACTGAATACCACGTGAGTGCTACTGTTCTTACCCCTCTCTCTGCTCTTTTCTAGCTCTTTCCTCTCTTTCCCAGCTCTCTCTCATTGCCAGGCCTTTCAAAACCACGTGGAGTGCCAACCTTGCCTGGTCCCAGCAGGTCTACTGAATAAACCTACCCCTTACCTGAAAAAAAAAAAGAAAAAAGCCGGAAGTGGCGCTGTGGCTCCAATGGTAGAGCACTAGCCTTGAGCTGAAGAGCTGAGGGACAGCGCCCAGGCCCAGAGTTCAGGCCCCACAACTGGACCCCCCCCCCAAAAAAAAACCCCCAAAAAACCTTAAAAAAAAAAAAAAAAGAATCTCAAGGACTTTCCTCTCTGGGTTGGCTTTGAACCTCCAACCTCAGATCTTAGCATCTGAGTAGCTAGGATTACAGGCAGGAGCCACTAGCACTCAGCTAAAACCTTTTTTTAAAGAGTAAATTTTTAAAAGCTTATGCAGAGTTTGAAATACATGAAACATATAATAAAATACATATAAATATAACATGCAGTCCTTAATATTAAGTAATTAATATATAATATAAAGTGTATTTAATATGTACAAAGATATAGTAAAATATAATAAAAGATACAATAAAATTTTCACATAAGTTAACATACTGCTATATCTATATCTGTCTATCAGTCTCTCTATTATATATATATATATTATATATATATATATATATATTTTTTTTTTTTTTTTTTTTTTAATCAGTCGTTGGGGCCTGAACTCTGGGCCTGGGCGCTGTTCCTGAGCTCTTCAGCTCAAGGCTAGTGCTCTACCACTTGAGCCACAGTGCCACTTCCAGCTTTTTCTGCTTATATGGTACTGTGGAATCGAACGCCTCATGCATACAAGGCGAGCACTCTACCACTGAGCCACCTTCTCAGCCACATACTGCTATATTTTAACTTCATCTATATTATTCTTACTACTTGCATTTTGCTGGAGTTTTTTCAAAGGAAATTATGTATAGTATGACATTTCACCCCTCAGTGGTTAAGTAAGTATATCTCTTTAAATGATATTTACCTACCCCATGTATAACCATTGTTATACCTAACAGATTTAATACTTTCTAGAGATTTATAGCATTTCCTGTTTGGAATTCCACTTAATGAATCTGAGTAATATTTTTAGTTACTAATATATTTAAAGCATAAACAACAAAAATAGAAAAAGAAGTGGATTTGAAAGCATAGGACTTGATGAGAACAAAGAAACCACATCCTTTTGGTTGCCAGATCTTCATACTAATTATACTGTTGTTTGGTTATTCTGGTGTTGAAGTATGCCTTTGAATTTGCTGGCTAATTTTGAGTTAGTAAGTATCTTTAGCTGTCTTAGATATTTTAAAATGTATGTAGTCTTACATGTTGTGACATTGAAATATTTGGAAAAATGTACTTTATATTCACAAAAGTATTCTGTAATCACATTAAATTGCTTATGACAGGCTTCAAAATAATTTTACATAAATAGAATGCCTGTTAATTTTGCATTTGCTAGGGTTAAATCAGCACTTAATTTATATAGCTCATGTGGAGGCTTCATGAGCTAGTACATGTTGCCTAAAAGTTAGCATAGACTTTATGTAAACTATTGGTTTTTCTTAATTTCAGGTTGTCTTATCAAAGTTTGTTAGGCAAATGGGTGACCTCTTGCCTCCAACTATTTATATTCCTTATTTGAAAATGCTCCAAGGCTTGGCCAATGGACCTCAGTGTGCCCACTACTGTTTCAGTCTGCTCAAAGTCAATGGTAGTAGTCATGGTAAGGAAAATCTAGATTTAAGTTGTTATTGCACTCTTGAGTTTACTGTCCCACTGCCTAGTGAAAAATATTGGTTATTCATGCTGAGTTCTACTAGATCTATAATTTGTTTTTATGACAGATGGCTTCAAGCATAGTGATGCCTTAATTACGGTCTCATTGTTTAGGGAGGTTGTCCATTCCTCTTTAATGTTTTTGTTTTGTGCCTGTCCTGGGGATTGAACTTAGGACCTGGATGCTATCCCTGAGAATTTTTGCTCAAGGCTAGTGTTTGAGGCGATGGCCCCACTTCTGGCTTTTTTGGTGGTTAGATATTAATTAATTAATTTGTAGTTGATTGGAGACTTTGTTGATTAATTGGAGAGTCTCACAGACTTTCCTTCCCAGGCTGGCTTTGAACTGCGGTCTTCAGATTTCAGACTCCTTAGTACCTAGTATTACAGATACTGAGTACAGTGGCCTGGCTATTTTTGCTGTTGTTGTTTTCCAAAGAAAATTTTGTGCTGCTATTTTTTACAGTTGAGAATATTCAGGGAGCAGGTGGTAGTCCTGTTTCCTGGGAGCATTTCTTTCACTCATTGATGCTTTATCATGAACACCTCCGGAAGGATCTTCCAAGTGCAGATAGTGTCCAGTACCGTCACCTCCCTTCACGTGGTATCACCCAGAAAGAGCAAGATGGACTGATTGCTTTTTTGCAACTCACATCTACCATCATTACTTGGGTAAGTAACTCACCCACAGCATAATTTTGTTTATATCCTAGCACAGTGGAATTTAAAGGTGCCAAACATTTTTTTAAATGCTTAAAGTTTATGAGTAATAAATTTTGCACATAGAATTAGTTCTTAAATTCTTTATTTTCTTAATCTCTAGAACATATAAATTATACTCATTCCACTCAATAATATAATCTTAAGTATGAAAATAATAGACTAAATTTTAAAGAAAGTAGTCAGAAGAGCCAGTAAGAGTCAGTTGTTGTCTGCATATCTTTCTTGGTTTTCTAGCGTAAGGGCAAATCTATGTATATATGTGCATACATAAAGGATAGCTTTAATTAAAAAGAAGTTACCTAGTTTTTTTTTTTTTCACCCTAAATAAAACCATTTACCTGAATCTAACCAAATTAATCTTTAGAAAGCATATTTTCGCCGAGCGCCAGTGGCTCACGCCTGTAATCATAGCTACTCAGGAGGCTGAGATCTGAGGATCTCGGTTCAAAGCCAGCCCGGGCAGGAAAGTCCATGAAACTCTTATCTCCAATAAACCACCAGAAAAACGGAAGTGGCACTGTAGCTCAAGTGGTAGAGTGCTAGCCTTGAGCTCTAGAGCTTAGGGACAGCACTCAGGCCCAGAGTTCAAGCCCCCACGACCGACAAAAAAAAAAAGAAAGCATATTTTCATCACAAGTTTCCCAGTTTAGAAATTCATTTAGTTGTTTATTTCTGTGTTCATTAAAAAAAGTTAAGTTACTTGGTCTAACATCTCTGAAAGATGAGAATATTGTCGTCTAGCTTTTTCCATCTTCCTAATCATGCTTTCAATTTATTATTCAAAATGTCAAGTTGGTAAAATGAAGTGATTCTTGATAACTATATTTTTACATTGTTACTAGTTTAAAAAATGCATTTTATTAAAGTATAGCATCAATTCAGAAAAGCTTTAAAATATCTAAGTAAGACTTAGGAAGCCTTGGCAGCTCATATATCCCTTTTATAGTGTTATTTCCCACATTTGGGTCTACAAACGTAATTTCTCTTCCATTCTTTGACCAAACTAGCAGTCTGACTTGCCCCACTGGTTAGACTGACAGCATTAATAATAGGCTTATCTTTGTTTAGGTATGTCTTAAAGTGTGAGGGGCAGCATCAGTGCTAACTAGAGATTGCTGGTCATTTTTCTTAGCTTTTAAAAATGGAAAGCAAGACCATGCTGTGAGCTTTGAAGACCAGTCTGGGCAACATGAACATAGTGAGCCCCTCAAAATGAGTGAATAAAAACTTGCTCTTTTCGGGTTCCATTCTCAGAGTGAAAATGCCCGCTTGGCACTCTGTGAGCATCCCCAGTGGACGCCTGTTGTGGTGATTCTGGGCCTACTGCAGTGCAGCATTCCCCCTGTTCTCAAGGCCGAGCTGCTGAAGACATTGGCAGCGTTTGGAAAGTCTCCTGAAGTTGCTGCGTCCCTCTGGCAGTCCTTGGAGTACACTCAGGTAGTGATAGGAACTTCCTCATTGCATTATTTGGAAAGTAGCTTGGTAATATGTAATGTATACTGTGCACTTCCCAGCTAGAAAGTTTGGCAACCAAGCACAGCATTAGAAACTAATAAACCTAGGTTTTTCTTTTGGCTCAGTTGACAGTTTCACTAGGTTATCAGGGATTAGTTTTTCAGACAATTCTGTTAGGCTTTATTTTTGAAAATCTGTAAGATAATTCTGGGTGGACAGATTTCTTCCACTCTTTCACACCATGTTGATGAAAGCCTTCAGAAGCTGTTTGTACTTACTAAATGTGGGATGTGTATGTTTTCTTTTCTCCTTTTTTTCCTTTGCTCAGCATGCCTCAAACCAGGAGAGTGACATACCTTATTTAGCTGTATATCATCACTAGAAATGTTTGTTTTTTTTCTCTCATAAAGGGCACATCCAACTGTTCACTAAATTTGCATGGGAATTTTAACAGCAGCAAAGTACTTTTTATTATTGATAGTCATGAAGACTTACTGCCAAGATGATGAACTTTGGGCAAAATTAGAACTAGAACAGCAGGAAAATTTTCATTTCTGCATACTTACAGAATGAATGTACTTTATGCTGACATGGGAGGGGAAGTAGATAGGTTATATGATATTTGATGTCTCAATGAATTATTGTTTTCCTCTCTGTAATGTAGGCTTAGAATTTTTATTCCAAGAATAGTTATTTGTCTATATGATAAAGTAAAAAAGGAAAGTAAGGATATGCTTTACAGAACTGTCTCTAGGAAATAGGTGAAATAGGCAAAGATCTTGGAAGTAATACAATCTAAAGAAGCCTACAAACTCATTATTCACAGAAGTAATCTTTTTTTTTTTTTTTTTCTTTTGTATCAGTTGTGGGGCTTGAATCCAGGGCCAGGACCCTGTCCCTGAACTCTTTTCCTCAAGGCTAGCACTCTACCACTTTGAGCCACAGCTCCATTTTCTGTTTTTTGATGATTAATTGGAGAAAAGAGTCTCAGAGATTTTTCTGCCTGGGCTGGCTTTGAGCCTCAGTCCTCAGATCTCAGCTTCCTGAGTAGATAGGATTACAGGTGTGAGCCACTAGCTCCAGCTTCATTTTGTAATTGTAAACTCTTCTTGGTTATTTTCTAATGTATGTGTCCTGAAGATATGAACATTTCTTTATAAAGAGAACAGTTAATGAAGTTGGTATATGCTGAAGTTGGTGAATGCTAAGTACTGATTCTTCACTTTTTGATGCATACGAGATTTTTTTTGGGGGGGGGGCAGGGGGTAAATACTACTATTTACCAATGTCCTGACTGCTTTTGCCTTTTTACATTGCAAATTAAATGTGATTGGGTTTAGAAATCTTTGTTCTTACAACAGCAACATTTTAAAAAGGATTTTATTTAATCTTATACTCTTAAGTTGCAGAAAAGTTAAGTATCATGAATAAATACAATTTATCATGAATAAATACAATTTTTGTTTACCAAGTTAGGTCCTACGCCAGGTCAGGACAGAACGTTTTAATTCAAAATGCCTGTCCATTTTAAGAAATCTTATTAAGTTACTTGGTCAAAGTAGAGCTGCTTGTGAATTTATGTGTCTTTCAACACTAGTGAGATTTTATCCTGTAAATCCCTTAAAGGATTAATTCCCAGAATATCTGAGAGGAAATTTGCTGAAAAGAGCAGATTGTGTGCTCCTAAAAATGACCCATTTCCAGTCGAAAATCCTGTGTGAATCTATGAAGATTGTTAACAGAAGTCTGTCAGGGACTCTGTCATTGCTAATGGACATTGTGAGATGAGTGAGAGCCCTATATGTGATCTGTGACTAGTAATATGCACAACCATTACTGCTCAGTGATATATGAGGAATATTACTGACATGTATTTTTTATTTTAAGATACTGCAGACTGTCAGGGTTCCAAGTCAGAGGCAAGCAATTGGGATAGAGGTAAGATTTAGAGACTGTATTCATTCACACACGTGAAATAAAAAGATTATAAACTACGATTAACTACCAGATTTAATATATTTACATTTAAAAGGCTTCCTAATCAGTGTTTAAATGGAGATGAAACCATTAATGAAAAGAATCAAATACTTAATGTTCCAGAGTTGGAGAAGGATTTACATGAAAACTATCTAAATTGAAAAGTCTTGGTTTCAACTGTTTAATTAAGTTACTTGACTCAACCTGTTTCTTCATTTTATTTGTGGTGGTATGGATGGCCCTAGCTGGCTAGACCCTACCACTTGGAACTATGCTTCTAGCCAGTTTTGCTTTAATTTTTTTCCCCTCAGGGCTAGCCTTGGACCTTGATCCTTCTATTTATTCCTTCAACATGGTTGGGGCCAAAATACATATAACCATGCCCAGCTTAATGGTTAAGAAGAGGTTTGATAAATTTTTTTGCCTGGGCTGGCCTTGAGCAGGACTTGAAGTAAGATCCTCCTGTTTAGTGCCTCAGGATCTCTACTTAAACATTTAAGATCTCTTTTTAATTCTAGTTTGGAATAATACGTGAGGATTTGAAGTTCTTCTGACTCATCAGATTGACATACTTTAGTATTTATTTCTATAACTGAAACATGATAATATCGGTTATTAGTCTTCTGATATGATTTAACCCTGTTGGTGAGTTATAGCTATGAAATGCAGAGCATTTATATTACCAACTTTTGTTTTTCTTTGAAGGTTGAACTCAATGAAATAGAATCCCGATGTGAAGAATACCCATTGACTCGGGCCTTTTGCCAGTTGATCAGCACCCTGGTGGAGAGCTCATTTCCTTCTAATTTGGGCGCTGGTCTGCGGCCCCCTGGCTTTGACCCCTATTTGCAGTTCCTTAGAGATTCTGTGTTTCTCCGATTTCGTACAAGAGCCTACAGGAGAGCTGCTGAAAAGGTTATGTTCAGAGAAAAGTTACTTAGTGTTTGCTTTTTCTTTTATCCAGCATATAATGGTCTACAAATTCATTTTAGCTTTTGAAAGTTAGCAAATTCAGTTTTAATCCTGAAATACCTCTAGCTTGATTAATTATATATATTAAAAAATAAATTCAGACTGTAGATTAAAGCATTGACATTTAGTGATCAATAATTTAGGAGTTCATAGTCTCATATACTGAACAGATTTTGCGTTTTTTTTTTGAGGCAGGACCTTTATATGTCCACTTGAACAAATTTTAACTAAAATTGAACTAAAAAGGTTGCACTTTGGTTGAAAACAAATGTGATCTTTACTAGGATGATTTGGATTAGGATTGAATAAGATCACACTTGCACACTGGTTAATCTCTTAGTGCTGCTTCTGGTTGTAGAATATTGGCAGTGGGAAGGAATGTTGTCGAGGATGGAGGCTGAGGGAGCACTGACATGTACATACTGGCTCTCTCTGTTCCTAAGAAACTACTGAGCTCCTCGTATATATAATTTTATGTAATTCCAGTATTTTTTGAGTCAGGTACGATTAATATTCCCATTTTACAGATGGAGGCTTAGCAAGGTTAAGGAACTTGCCTAAGGTCCAGGACCAGGATTTGAACCTAGGACTCTTGATTCCAGATCCAAGCTCATAACCACTAAAAGCTATGTAAGAGATCTTTCCAGGTTCTGACCTAATTCACTTTAGTCTATGATACTGTTTATTACCTCCCAGAATAATCTTGGATGTATCTTCTAGCAACATTTTGCTGTATTATAGTTTGCTGTTTTTGAACATGATACGTATATTTTTTAACATAATGACTATACTAAAAATTTCTTAGTTATTTGGGAAAATTTGGAAAATAAAAGTATACAATGAAATTTTATTGCCTATAATCTGGTTGCCCAATGGATAAATTACTTCTTTTTTTTAATGTAAGCACAATGAATTAACATTTGACAGGATTACTTTGTATCCCCTTTTTGATACATACATGAAGACTTTTTTTTGCTGGTTGTGGGGCCTGAACTCTAGGTCTGGGCACTGTCCCTCAGATCTTCAGCTCAAGGCTAGCACTCTGCCACTTGAGCCACAGCACCACTCCAGCTTTTTTTCTGCTTATGTGGTGCTGAGGAATTGAACCCAGGGCCTCATGCATGCAAGGAAAGCACTCTACCACTCAGCTATCTTCCCAGCCCCTGTTCCCCCTTTTTTTTTCTTTGGTAGGTCATGGGGCTTGAACTCTGGGCCTGGGCCCTGTCCCTCAACTCTTCAGCTCAAGGGGAGCACTCTACCACTTGAGCCACAGCACCACTTTTGGTTTTCTGGTGGTTTATTGGCGATAAGAGTCTCAGGGACATTCCTGCCCGGGCTGGCTTTGAACTGTGATCCTCAGATGTCAGCCTCCTGAGTAACTAGGATTACAGACGTGAGCCACCAGAGCCTGGCTAATATAACTTTCTTTTTGTTGGTCGTGGGGCTTGAACTGTGGGCCTAGGTGCTGTCCCTCAGCTCTTCAGCTCAAGGCTAGTGCTCTACCACTTGAGCCACAGGGCCAGTTCCACATGAAGACTTTTCATGTTATTTAATTGTCTTCTTAATGATTACATTATATTCATCACTGGTGTTCAGTATAGTTCATTTATTGCCTTGTCACCAGCGGATATAACTTGTTTCTAATATTTAGTCATAACTAACTGAAGTTCACATTTTTGTTTTGTTTACCTTGTAGTTAAAAACAAAGATTCAGGGTGGGCGATGGTGGGCATGCCTGTAATCCTAACTACTTAAGAGGCTGAGATCTGAGGATTGCCATTCAAAGTTAGCCTAGGCAGGAAAATCTATGAGACTCTTATCTCCAATTAGCCACTAGAAAACTGGAAGTGGTGCAATGGCTCAAGTGGTAGAGCGCTAGCCTTGAGCTGAAGGACAGTGCCCAGGCACAGAGTTCAAGCCCCATGATGGACAAAAAAACAAAAAAAACCCAAATAACCCATTTAAATACATTTTATTTAAGATCTAGAATGACTTTGTTAACTTTTCTGACCTGATGAAAATAATAACAGAACCATACCTCATTAATGAAAGTCATTTCAGGTGAATAATGGGTACTTAATCATTGTGATCTTTTCAACAAAATGTTCTTACACTTTTACTGGTTTTATTTGTTTACTTTTTTTTTTTTTTTTTTAATAGAGTGGAGGATGGAACTCAGGGCTTTGTACTTGCTAGGCAAGTGCTCTTCCACTGAGCTAAATCCCCAACTTTTGTACTGGTTTTAAAAGCCTTTTTCCCTAAAAGTCACTGTGACCTTGGTGTTTAGAACTCTAGTCAGCCACATTCTTTCTAGATTACTGATTTTGCCTGCATAGTTACACTTCTAGTGTTACTTTCCCTGCTGCTGTTTCATTTTACTTCCACGTCCTTATATTTACCCTAAGAATTTCCCCTCTAATTTTAGAATTTGACTACTTGAAATACTTCTAGAGCTTAATTTATGACAGTGTATTTTAGGATAATGTCTTCTACCAAAAGCCATGCTTTGATTTGATAAAAACAATAAATGTAAATATAAAATGTTTCAAGCAGAATCCCATTTGTCATTGTAAAAATTCATTATTAGCCAGGCGCCAGTGGCTCACGCCTGTAATCCTAGCTACTCAGGAGGCTGAGATCTGAGGATTGTGGTTCAAAGCCAGCCAGCCCAGGCAGGAAAGTCCGTGAGACTGTTATCTCCAATAAACCACTAGAAAACCGGAAGTGGCGCTGTGGCTCAAGTGGTAGAGCGCTCGCCTTGAGCTGAAGTGGGCAGAGCAGCGCCCAAGCCAAGAGTTTAAGCCCCACGACCTATCAAAAATTTAAAAAAAAAATATTAAAAAATTCATTATTATTTGATGTCTTTTTAAAATTTAGAAACACTTAAAAATATTAGAAAATACAAAAAAATCAATAATTTAAATACAATAAAATGCTGTCTCATTCCAAACTCAGTAGAGTTTGGTAGAAATAATGATTTTATAGTAGCACATAGCTATGGTACATAGCTTTTAAGCCCATTTTTTAAAACATGGGGATAATAACAATGTCATTCAGAGCAAGCTACCTAGTGATTGTATCTTTTTATCTTTGCCTGTGTTATGTGAGGGAATCCTGGTCTAAGATGCCCTGGTTGAGGCTTGTAGCATGCTTACTGCCATGACATCTAGTCTGTGGGATTCAATCACTGCTCTGAGCTCTTTTTTTTTTTTTGAAGTGACAGTGATGAGTTGAGATGAGATGACGCCTCAGTTCTTTTCCATCTAGTGAAGTTCTTAGGGAAAATGTAAAATATTACTCCTTGGAGAAATCTGATACTGTTCAATTATACATTGACTATGACTATGTACTAAATATTTTCAATTTGTAAATGAGCCCAAACTTCTATAGAAATACTTCTTAAGTAAAGATTGAAAAAAAAAATTTTGACTAAGAAGTGAACTAATCCATCATCCTTCATCAAAATAAAGGAATATGAAGTAGGATTTGCATTCTGTTTATTATAAATTAATGAAGTAGACAGGGCTTTGTCATTCATTATTTTGGAGAAAATGATGGGAGGAAAGCTAAGCCTGGCAAGTTTCTACCTTGTACTAAAATATTTACTTCTTATTTTCTTATTTGTAGTGGGAAGTTGCTGAGGTAGTTTTGGAGGTGTTTTATAAACTACTCAGAGATTATGAGCCTCAGCTTGAAGATTTTGTGGATCAGTTTGTGGAACTACAAGGTAATTCATTTACTTCTGCCACTTTTCAATAAGATGTCAGCGCTTTATAATTTATTTTTCTTATTTTTTTAATATATTTTTATTGTGAAAATACTGTACAGAGGGGTTACAATTACATGGGTAAGATAATGAGTACATTTCTTATCAAGCATTGTAACCTCTTGCTTTGTTTCCCCTTCCCATCCCTTCGTATCCTCCCCCCCCCCGCCCGTCCCCACCCTCCATCCCCCCCCCCCCAAAGTTGTAAAGTTCGTTTTTTGACATAACAACTTATACATCTCATTGTTGCAATGAGTCCTCCTGTATCCCTGTTTTAACAATTTGTTTTTTTCCCGTCCCCTCCACATATACCAACATTATATATAGTGAAAGCAGGGGTTGTACCATGGGAGAGGGACATACAAGGCAACAAAGACATAATCTTATAAATATGTTAGAAACAATCCCATGAAAGATCTCTCTCTCTTTTTTTTTTTTTTTTGGTCAGTCGTGGGGCTTGATCTCTAGGCCTGGGAGCTGTCCCTGAACAATTCAGCTCAAATGCTAGCGCTTTATAATTTAGGTAATAACATATACATTATGTTTAAGTTAAAATTCTTAAGTTAAATTAGAACTTAATCTTTTTTCATTATTTCAGTCCTTTCAGTTGTTCAAGAATAAGCAAAATTTTATTGAAGTTCAAGAATATCATATTATAGATTTTTTTTTTTTTTTTTTTTTGCGAGAGGCGGGGGGGCGGGGAGGTTCAGTCGTGGGGCCTGAAATCTGGGCCTAGGCACTGTCCCTCAGCTCTTCAGCTCAAGGCTAGCGCTCTACCACTTGAGCCACAGCGCCACTTCTGGCTTTTTTCTTTTTGCTTATGTGGTGCTGAGGAATCGAACCCAGGGCCTCATGAGTGCAAGACAAGCGCTCTACCACTGAGCCACCTTCCCAGCCCATATTATAGATTCTTTAATGCATTGACAAACTTCTTTCTATGTGCTGTCCAGTATGTCCCATAAGGGGAATTATTATTCTATATAGCTTGTGTTTCTGTCTCTAACTTGAAAATTGCTTTATCTGTTTAGATCCCATTTAAATTCCAAATCTAATCTGTTCTTATACATTCATAGAAATCAAGGATATGACTAATTCACCATCTTCTGGACTTTGTATGCTCTATTTAGGAGAAGAAATCATAGCTTATAAGCCACCCGGCTTTAGTCTGATGTATCACCTTCTGAATGAGTCACCAATGTTGGAACTTGCTCTTAGTTTACTGGAAGAAGGAGTTAAGCAGCTTGATACCTATGCTCCCTTTCCTGGTATGTGTCTGAAAGTCTCTATGTCTTAAAAACAGTTTTGATGTTTTCATCTTTCATCAACTGAGTATTTAAAATAGGTTATCTCTGGGTGATTCTTGTACTGTAAAATTCAATCTACAGTGGTGTTTTTTTTTTTTTTTTTTTGTCGGTCGTGGGGCTTGAACTCTGGGCCTGAGTGCTGTCCCTCAGCTCTTCAGCTCAAGGCGAGCGCTCTACCACTTGAGCTACAGCACCACTTCCAGTTTTCTGGTGGTTTATTGGAGATAGGAGTCTCACGGTCTTTCCTGCCTGGGCTGGCTTTGAACCGCGATCCTCAGATCTCAGCCTCCGGAGTAGCTAGGATTACAGGCGTGAGCCACCAGAGCCCGGCTACAGTGGTGTTTTTTATGAGCGGATTTAATGAGACTGTAACACGTATCCTCCCAGATCAGAAGGTATAAAAGCTACAGATAGGAACTGCCATTTTGAATCTTTAACACTCATTTTATGCATGGGAAGCAGGAAATGTTTTTCTTCTCCATCTGTTCCTACTTTTAACTAGTCATATGGAAATAAATCCTTTATAAAACTTATAAACAAACAAGTAACTGACAGTATTTTGTAAGTGAAAACAGGCATTTTCAGTGTCTCTGCATCTGTTTTATTAGATAGTTTATATTACTTTCCTATTACTTTCACATGTTTACTATGTGTACATGTAAGTCTGAAATCTTTTGTTTTCTTTATAGTACTTGGATTTACTATAATACTCAATAAATTCTATTATTGGCATCATTTGTTACTTATTGAGTGCTTACTATGCATTTGACTTTTAAAAGCACATCATGTGTGCTAATGCATTTATTGTTTACGAAATTAGGCCCCAGAGCCCATGCTTCCACCATTATGCTATATTGCCTATTAATGTAGCCGTGATCTGAAAAAGTCACATTTTAAGCACAATAAACTGTAATTGTGTAGTTATATAATACAATACAGAGATAAGAAACCATGGGAATAATTAGGTGAAACATTACATTTGGTAGGATTATCAGTGATCCTTATACTTCCTGTGGGTTTTTGTGTGTGTGTGCGCGCCTGTGTGTGTGTGTGTAACAAAATGGTTATATCTTTCTTGAAGTCAGTTTCTGAACCTTGGATAATTAACAGCTTGGCCAAACTATTCTTTATTGTGGATGCTGTCCTGGGTGTTGTAGGCTTCTGCTAGCTCAATGTTAATTACACTTCCCCAATTTTGACAGACTATGACAGGCAACAGGGTTGAATGTCTTTGGGGGCCAAATCACTCCAGTGTTGAGAACTGCTATTCTAAAGAATTGGGGAATAGAAATTAGAGGCTGGTGGTTCAAATCTATAATACTAGCTGCTCAGGAGGCTGAGATCTGGAGGATTGCAGTTTAAAGCCAGCCGAAGCAGAAAAGTCTGTGTGGCTCTATCTCCAAAATAATCAACAAAAGATCAAGTAATTGGCTAATACAGGAACAGTCAAGTTTAAAAAGATGAGAGCCTTTTCAATGTAAAACTTGTTTTTTTTTTCCTTTTCCTAAGAACTTATTGAGTTTCTAACATTTAAATTATAACTATACTTTTGGGTTACAGGAAAGAAGCATCTGGAGAAAGCAGTACAGCATTGTCTTGCACTTCTCAACCTTACTATGCAAAAGGAAAATCTCTTTATGGATCTTTTAAGAGAGAGTCAACTGGCTCTCATAGTGTCTCCTTTAGAACAGCTGTTACAGGGAATTAACCCCAGAACTAAGAAGGCAGACAATGTGGTAAACATTGCCAGGTGAGTTACCTTTGTAGGTTAAGAAATAATGATGGATGGCTCATCAGGGGAATATTCTAGCTTTGATTTCTAAGTGGCTTTTTTTTTTTTTAATTATATCTATTGTATCACTGCTGCTGATGTTGATGATGGTGATGTTTTTGTCCTTTCAATTTTACCTTTTCTAGCGCTTTTGATATTAATTACTTTAAACCTTATAATTTCTTCCTAATTTGTCCCAAGTCCTAAAGGCTTTAAATCTAAAATACCTTAATGCTGTTATTCTCCTGTAGGGAAAGTGGGATTTCAAGGATTGTGCTAGATAGGGAGTGAATAAAACCTTTCAAAATCTCTCTCTCTCTCTCTCTCTCTCTCTCTCTCTCTCTCTCTCTCTCTCTCTCTCTCTCTCTCCCCCTCCCCCTCCCCCCTTCCCTCCCTCCCTCCCTCCCTCCCTTCCGTTCCTTCTCCCTCTCTCTCTCCCTTCTTTCTTCCTTTCCCTTTCTCCTTCCTCCCCTCTTCCCCTTCCTCCTCCTTCTCTTCTACCTCCCCGCCTTCCTTTCAATCCTCACTAGGTGCACAGGCACGTGTGTGCACACATATAAGCATGCACACGAGTGTAAGCTTTGGTGTTAAATTGGCTGTGGAAATACTGTCCCGATCTTCTGCTTCAGTTTCATATTGTGATATCTTAGTGTATGTGTATTTATATTCAAATCTCCCTTTTTTGTCATAGTGTATTAGGGCCTGCCTTAATGATCTCATCTTAACTGGATTTACTACATACGCAAAGACAAATAGGTTCATTATGGAGTGAGACTTCAACATATGAATTTTGGAGGCACATGATCTAGCCTGCGATGGGTTCTTTGTAGCCAAAAGGGACCACTTTTCTCTAAATTCATTCATAAGTACTATATGGGAATCTGTGGTTCTAAATTTGATTGAGAATAGTGAAAAGCCAAATTTCATGACATTACTCCTCATAGTTTTTTTTTTTTAATTATTGTTGTTCTAAAGGTACCTGTATCATGGGAATACTAATCCAGAATTAGCTTTTGAAAGTGCCAAGATTCTATGCTGTATTTCTTGCAATTCTAATATTCAGATAAAATTGGTTGGAGATTTCACTCATGACCAGGTAACTGATTTTGTTATTGTTGTTTTTGGGTCTCTGCAAAGAGCTTAAGTATAAAAGATGAATGAAGTGGCTGGGAATGTGGCTTAACCATAGAGTGGTTGCTTAGCCCTGGGTTTGATTCCTTAGTACCATATAAACAGAAAAGGCTGAGAGTGGCGCTGTGGCTCAAGTGGTAGAGTGCTAGCCTTGAGCACAGAAATTCTCAAGGACAGTGCCCAAGCCTTGAGTTCAAGCTTCAGGATCAGTCAAAAAAAAAAAAGAATGAAAACCTACCCATGTATTTGGCTATAATTATTTTTGAAGATAATACTGTTGGGTGATGCAGTGGACTTTGTATCCACAGGTATGTGGTTCCAAGGAGATCATTAAGAAAAAAGTATGATCACATGCATAGCATTAGTACTATACTGGGCATGCTCAATTCCTTTTTTCATTAATGCTACCAACTTCCCCAAAAGGCAAACTAAACTGTCTTTCAACAGAAAATTTTACTTTTCACTTAAATTAAGCATATTTTATTTTGCTTTTTGGATAGTATTTGCTTTTTTTTTTTTTTTTTGTCAGTTGTGAGGCCTAAACTCTGGGCCTGGGCGCTGTCCCTCAGCTCTTTAGCTCAAGGCTAATACTCTACCACTTGAGCCACAGCACCACTTCGGACTATTTCTGTTTATGTGATGCTGAGGAATTGAACTCTACCACTCAGCCACTCAGCCACCTTCCCAGCCGCTCCCCCAACGTCTTTTTTTTTTTTGTCAGTCATGGGGCTTGAGCTCTGGGCTTGGGTGCTGTCCCTGAGCTCTTCAGCTCAAGATGAATGCTCTACCCTTTGCCACAGTGCGACTTCCAGTTTTCTGGTGGTTTATTAGCTGTGATCCTCAGATCTTAGCCTCCTGAGTAGCTAGGATTACAGGTGTGAGCCACCGGCGCCGGCTACTGTTTGCTTTTTGGGTGTCATAATTTCAGAAAATTAAGGGTAGGGAAATACTCAGCTTATCACACAATGTTTTTTTTTTTTTTTTTGGACAGTCCTGGGGCTTAAACTCTGGGCCTGTGTATTACCCCTGAACTTCTTTTGTTCAAAGCTAGCTCTCTACCTCTTGAACCACAGTGCCACTTCTGGCTTTTTTCTGTGTATGTGGCACTAAGTAATCGATCCCAGGGCTTCATGCATGTGAGGCAAGCACTCTATCACTGAGCCACCTTCCCAGCCCTAAAAGTTTAATTTTTGAAATTTCTTTTGATTTGCCTGTTATGTATTTTTTCTTATATGTTACCAAAACTGTATGTAATAAATCTATAAATGAGATAGGCTTACTCTAAGTACAGATATGTTTATGTATATTATTGTGCACACCAGTGTATATACTGAAGTGTATAGTTTTTTTGGGCCATGAAATGACTGTTGCTCTAATAACATTTTAAGTGATTATGTTAGTAGCTTTTTCCTGTTTTCGTTTTGCTCCCATCTTGCCTTATTCTAACTAAGCCTGCTTCTAATTTTGTGACAGTCATGAGCTGTCTGCATCTGTGATTTTCTGATGTTCCACATCTATGTTATTACATTGCTTGTTACCACACCATGCAAGTTATTTTTATTTTTTTCTAGTGCTGAGGTTGAAATTCAGGGCCAAATGCTTTGTAGGCTCCTGTTCTACCACTTAAACCATGTTTCAGCCCTTTTGTTTTTGTTATTTCTTTGAGTGGGGTCTTGCTTTTAATTTTAAGCAAGGCTGACTTGGACTGCAGTTCTTTTCTTTAGGCTTCCTACATAGCCTAGATAACAGGCAAATGCTACCAGATCCAGGTTGTATTGGTGGGGAAATGGTCTCTTAGTGCTGATTTCCAGCTGCAGAGTAGCTAGGATTGTAGCTATGAACCACTGTGTATGGCCCTTATTTTTACTTTAAAAAAAAAAATTGTTTTACCAGTCCTAGGGTTGGGTACTGTCCCTGAGTTTCTTTTTTTTGCTCAAAGCTAGCACTCTACCATTTGATCCAGAGCGCCAGTCTGGCCTTTTCTGTTTATGTGATACTGAGGAATCAAACCCATGGCTTTATTCATGCTAGGCAAGTGCTCTATGACTAAACCACATTCCCAGCCCTATTTTTACTTTTTAAAAACAATGTCTCTTTGATTAGGCTGGTGTGGAACTACCTTCTCTTCCACTTCTGTGGTAGGTGGCACTGCAGGCATATGTTACTATACCTAGCTCAGTTGTTCATCTTTTTATTCATAGTAGTTATTTTCTGTTCTCTTTTCTCTCTTTTGAGGACAGGATCTGATTATATTGCCTAGGCAAGCCTTGAACTCCTGGGGTTAATGGATCTTCTTTCCTCAGCCTAACAAGTATCTGGAACTATAGGTGTATTCCACTCACTACTTGTATTTAATACTAGTTGAATTCTGTTGAATAGCTATCATGAGCAGTCTTTTTGTTTATTTCTTCTGTGAACGTAGATCCCATTGTATCTGTGTTAGAAACCCCTGCTTTAGTTAAAGGCTTTTATTATATCCTTCGTATTAAAGTTCTAATCAGGAGCTATTCTGACACTCTAGGTGAGACACGTCTTCATTTTGAGTGTAATTGCTCCTCATACCGCAAAATATTTAATGTCATTAAGTTCCCTTTCACTACACGTCAGTAGTAATCTCTTTGTAAATGCCTCCTGAAATAGTGGTATCATAAGGTTGAGGAAAAACACTGCAGTATTTTTGTGTGGCTTCTAGATGGAATTCATGAAACTCATGATAGTCAGAGCATAATGATGATTTTTGGCTTGTTGACTTTTTTTTTTTTTGAGACAAAATCTTGCTAAGGTGGGGTGCTGGTGGTTCACGTCTATAATCCTAGCTACTCAGGAGGCTGAGATCTGAGGATTGTGGTTCAAAGCCAGCCTGGATAGGAAAGTCTGTGAGATTCTTATCAACAGTTAACCACCAGAAAACTAAAAGTGGCACTGTAGTTCAAGTGGTAGTGCTCTAGCCTTGAGCCGAAGAGCTCAGGGACAGTGTCCAGGCCCAGAGTTCAAGCCCTACAACCGACAAAAAAAAAAATCTTGGTATGTAGTATAGGGACACTTAGAACTTGCCATTTTCTTGCCTTCTCTTGTATGCTGGGATTATAAGCTTATACTCTGTTTTTAATTTACACTATTACTGATTTGAACATTGTTAGGTTTCTTTTTCTTTCTTGCTTTTTTTTTTTTTTTTTTTTTTTTAAGATAGGGCTGTATTTTGTACTTACGCTAGCCTGACATACACTTTGTAGTCAAAGCTGGCTTCAAACTCAGTGATTCCACTGCCTTTTCTTCCTGAGTACTAGAATTACAGATACACCTCTCTGTCTGGCTTACGTAAATTATTCCTAGAGACTCATGGCAGTTTAAGAAACTGAATTTTCTGTTAATTAATGAACTAAAACCTAACCACTTAGAGCAGATTAGCCTTTTTCCCACAGATGACTATGTATACTATATTTATTATGATATCTCTGATAATTTGACAGTTTTGATTAATTAATAATTTTCCTGTCTATATTGTTTCAGAGTGTAAGCCAGAAGCTGATGGCTGGATTTGTAGAATGTTTGGATAGTGAAGACACAGAAGAATTTGTACGTGTAGAAGAGGGTAGGCCTCAGATTAACCTGTATAGTTCTTACTGTGTGTTTAGATACTTTATATAAAAAACATAATACCAAACTTAACATTCTTATCTGTGTATTTGAGACATAGGAAAAGTTGATGATATGCTAAATGGCATGTATAAAGGTTTCTGGATTTCTTTAGTAAATCAATAATAGCTTGTCAGGGAAGCTAAGTTAAGTAATCCTGGATGTTTGGAATACCTGCTTCATATTTTTAAATTTGATTTAGATTGACTTTGTATTGTTTGGTAAGTTTTTGTGTTTTGCACATTAAGGCTCAGAACTTGAAAAGAAGTTAGCTGTAATTCGTCATGAGACAAGAATCCACATCTTGAATCTTCTCATCACATCTCTGGAATGCAATCCTCCCAATCTCGCTCTCTACTTGTTGGGCTTTGAATTGAAGAAACCTGTCAGTACCACAAACCTACAAGATCCAGGTATAGTGTTTATTCTTTTTCATATGTGTGCATCTAAGTGGTCTTACTGAATTCTGGATTCATTGAATAATTCATTAAAAACTGTGTACATGTGAAAGTTAATGTGATAGGCCAGTCTTTAGGCCTTTGATCAAGACTGGATAAACAATTTTACAGAGTTGGCATTTTTCAGTGTTTTTTATCAGTATTTGAATGGTATTAGAAGAGCATATGTTTATAATATTGGATTTTTGTAATGCTATCCTACGGTTTCCAACACAAAAGTTGTTTCCTTTTGATTTTATGTAGGAGTGTTGGGTTGCCCCCGGACATGCCTGCATGCTATCCTAAACATCTTGGAGAAAGGAACAGAAGGGCGAACAGGGCCGGTGGCAGTGCGGGAATCTCCTCAACTGGCTGAGCTGTGTTACCAGGTACACAGGTGTCACTTTGTAGAACTGAGTAGAAGAGACTGGATGAGTTAACACAGGCGAATAAGACTGAGTTGAAATGAGCTCACTTTTATTATGTATGGATAGAATAAATCCACAGGTATAAACTCCAAGATTGTGTAAATAGAAAGATCCTATTGACAAGTGAGGGAAATTAAGATTTTTTTTAAAAAAAGATTTGGATCATACATAGGAACTCTCCAATATCTAGTAGTGCTATATTTAAAATAACATTTTTTGGTGGGTAGTGGTGGATTTGGGTCAGATCTCTTGTCCCATGTCTGACCCCTAACAGGATAGGTGTGCTGTGAAACTTCTTTGGATCTGACTTTCTCAGTCTTTCTCAGTGAAATGAGCTGTTGAGATGTAAGTGGGAATGTAAGTAAAAGCACTGTTTAGGAACCATATGAATTATAAAATTCTGTAGCTATGCAGCATGGTATAGAGGCAAAGGTCAAATAATGAAAACTTTATTCATTTGTATTTATGAATTTATTCTTATTCATTTTAGATATTTTGATAATTTGACTTTATAAAATGTAGTTAATGCCTCAAGTTATTTCACATTTTCTTGATAATGCATCATTAATTTTAGTGAAATATTGCTCTTATTTTTGTAGTTTTTCACTGTTCTGCTGTCTGGCTGTTCAAATATTGTTTAACAGTACTGTAGCTAGATTTTTTTGGGGGGGGGTCAGTTGTGGGGCATGAATTTAGGGCCTAGGCACTGTCTCTGAGCATTTTTACTCAAGGCTAGCACCATTTTGAGCCATACCCCCACTTCTGTTTTTCAGGTGGTTAATTGGAGATAAGAGTCTCATAAGGAAGTGGTGCTGTGGCTCAAGTGGTAGAGCTCTCACCTTGAGCTGAAGAGTGCAGGGACAGCGCCCAAGCCCAGAGTTCAAGGCCCATGACCGACAAAAAAAAAAAAAAAAGAGTCACATAAACTTTACTGCCCTGGCTATCTTTGACCTGTGATTCTCAGATCTCAGCCTCCTGAGTAGGAGGTAGGATTACAGATGTGAGCCACTAATGTACAACATAACTATGTTATTATGTAGTTTGTTTCTTATGAGCCAAATACTTCCTTAATTGGGAAATAAACTTGCCCTATACAGTGCAGTGTAATAGAATTTCAAATGTAGATAGAAGCAGTTGATAAGCTTAAGCATGTGCTAAAGGCAGATGAATAACAGAAGAGAGAAGCAAGGTTTATGTGGAGAAGGAGGTGTAGGAGGGGGGAAGCATTTGCATTTCTCCTCTCCTGACCATCTTACCATCATAGGATATAGGCTGTTTTTCAACATTGTCTGAAATTTTATTTGTATTTTTAAGAAAATTAGGAGTCTAAATTTTTGTTGAAAATTTTTAGATTTTCAACAAAATTCTAGTTTTTAGAACCTTGTTCTGGTCAAACAAAATATTACACCAACAGTCTACTATATATAACTTAGGATCTGTGACTTCACTGTCAGAATGATGTGGTTCAGGACCAGAACCGAGTTTAACCAGTGTGGAGTATCAGCTCTACATTAGATTTATATTTGAATAAGAAGTTGGTGCCATTTTTAGTGAAAAATAGTTCACCTATAGGTTTGTGCATCACCTTCAGAAAAAAAACTGGGTTTTGTTTAAGAAAATCTGGCCAGGCACTGGTGGCTCACGTCTATAATCCTAGCTACTCAGGAGGCTGAGATCTGAGTATAATCGTTCAAAGCCAGTGTTGGCAGGAAAGTCTGTGAGACTCTTATCACCAGTTTACCACCAGAAAACCAGTGGTGCTGTGGCTCAAAGTGGCAAAAAAGCTCAGGGACAATGTTCAGGCCCTGAATTTTGAAGCCCAGAACTGGCAAACAAAACAAAACACCAACAAAAACCCATAAGTGATTCAAGTGGTAAAGTGCTAGCCTGGGTGGGGGGTGGGAAGGGTTTGGGGGGGGGGGGGGAAGGGTTAGGGGGGTAGTGGGGGGAGGATGGGATGGGAAGGAGAAACAAAGGAGGAGGCTACAATGCTTGATAAGAAATGTACTCATTATCTTGCCCATGTAATTGTAACCCCTCTGTACAGTATTTTCACAATAAAAAAAATTAAAAAAAGAATCCCAGACACTTCTTACATAGGCTGGCTTTGAACTTTAATTTATTGTTATGTATGTGAAGTAAGTGTGTGTGTGGCTGGCTTTGAACTTTAATTTATTGCTATGTATGTGAAGTAAGTGTGTGTGTGTGTGTGTGTGTGTGTGTGTGTGTGTGTGTGTGTGTGTGTGTGTGTGTGTGTGTGTGTGTGTGTGTGTGTGTGTGTGTGTGTGTGTGTGTGTGTGTGTGTGTGTTGGTTCTGGAGCTTAAACTCAGGGCCTGGCCACTGTCTATTATACTTGAGTTGGTACATCTTAATTTTTCTTTGTAGTAACTTTTAAGTTTATATTTTACCTTAACATGTACAATACATAAAAAACTGATGTAAGGATTTTTTTTCATTAGGTGATCTATCAGTTATGTGCATGTTCTGATACATCTGGTCCTACTATGAGGTATTTGAGAACCAGCCAAGATTTTTTATTTTCTCAGTTACAACATCTGCCTTTCTCCAACAAAGGTAGGACATTATTTTGACTTCTATAAGTATTTCAGATTATGGTTTCATATTTATTTAGAGACAGGATCTTATAATATAGTCTGGCTTCAAACTCCTGATCCTCCTGTCTTAGCCTCCCATGTTACAAGTGTATACCACCATGCCTGACTGTGGTCTGTTTTGATTTTGAATTGTTTATGTATCTGTGAGCTATCTTGGGAATGTGTAAATATATCTTATAGTGTGCCTTTGTGTTTTTGCTTTCATTTTTGTGAGTTGAGTTTTTTAGACTTAGGGGCCTTAATTGCTCAAGTTGCTTGTTCAGCTAGCATTCTGTTATTTGAGCTCACTTTTTTTGGGGGGGGGGGGGTCCTGTTGTGGGGCCTGAACTCTGGGTGCTGTCCCTCAGCTCTTCAGCTCAAGGCTCCACTCCTTGTATCCTTAGTTAATTTTCTAATTAATTTTATAATTATAAAACATTAATTTTATAATTTATAATACTTATAAATTATGCAGTGTGGGTTTAGATATATATTTTTATAAAAAGCAAAATTAAATTGTATTCTATTATGGCAACTGAAACTTACTTTTTTTTTTCCTTTTGGTAACAGTCCTAGGGCTTGATCTCAGGGCCTGGACACGGTCCCTGAGCTTTTTTGTTCAATAGTGCTCTATAATTGGGCAATAGCTCTACTTCTGACTTTTTAGAAGTTTATTGGAGATAAGAGTCTTACAGACTTTCCTGCCAGATTAGCTTCAAACTGCGATTCCCAGATCTCAGCCTCTTCAGTAGCTAAGATTACAGGTGTGAGTCACCAGTATATGGCTAAGAATTACTTTTTAAAATGAAATATTAAGAGGGTGGAGGTGTAGATCAGTTGGTAGAGTGCCAGCCAAAGAGTGAAAGCGTTGGGTACCAAGTTTGAGTCCTGGTTTCAGGACTAAATAATGAAGTGTTAAGTAATATTTTAATGTTAAAGTATAACTGATTTTTGTGAAGCTTTCCAGGGAACAAAAACTTGATTGTCGTATTCCTTGTTTACTTTAGCTTATTTTTCATAGACAGACACTGGCTTATTTTTTCTCCCTTTGTAAATTTATCTTTTTTAATTTCATAGTGCCAGATTTATGAATTACTGATTTCATTACCTATTCAATGAGTTATGGAATTTAGATTTATTCTGATCTTGTGTTACTACTCTGTGAAATGAAATTATGTGTTTAAATCCCAGAATATGAAATCTCTATGCTGAACCAAATGTCATGGCTTATGAAGACTGCCTCAATTGAACTAAGGGTGACTTCTCTGAATCGTCAGCGGTCACATACACAGAGGCTCCTACACCTTTTACTGGATGATATGCCAGTAAAACCGTACTCGGGTGAATATGTTAATAATGACATTTGTTTTATTGTACTGGTGACTGGTCTATAAATGCAAATCTCAGTCTTATTATTAGTGTGTACTTGGAGACCAAACAGTTTTTCTCAGCTTTAGAATATTTTTTCTTTTTTTTAAATTTAATTTTATTTTATTTGTGAATATACTGTACAGAGGGGTTACAATTACATGGGCAGGATAATGCGTACATTTCTTACCAAGCATTGCAGCCTCCTCCTTTGTTTACCCTTCACCTCCCTTCCCAGCCTCCCCTCTCCCAGAATATTTTTTCTTATCATTTAAACATATCCCCTGACTGTTATTTTATTTTTGTCTCAAGTACCCAAATATAGTCATTATTTATATGCACTTTATTCAGTGGAAAGTTTGTCCCACTTAGACAATATGCCCAGGGCTCAATCAATAAGTATACATGCAAACTAAACATAAGCTTTTTGAAAAAATATTTATCATTGGATTGATTTTTGCTAGCTTTAAAATTCTGATTATCCTCTTTAAAATTATAAATGGGTCCCATAGGGATGGAAAGAATCAGTTGAATTTTAGCAGTAAGTCCTTATCAATCTGTTTCACTTTAATTATCTATTTGTAAAGGGCTCTTTATTTTTTTTGGGTCATGGAGCCTGAACTCTGGGCCTGGGCACTATCCCTCAGCTCTTCAGCTCAAGGCTAGCGCTCTACCACTTGAGCCACAGCGCCACTTCTGGCTTTTTTCTTTTTGCTTATGTGGTGCTGAGGAATTGAACCCAGGGCCTCAGGCATGCAAGGCAAGTGCTCTACCGCTGAGCCACCTTCCCAGCCCTGTAAAGGGCTCTTTGACCTAGAAACAGTGACCTAGAAATAAAATACATTATGTTCACTATTTTCAAATAAATGTATTTTGAGAGTATGTTCTTTACTTTCTGATCTGTTGTTCTTTATGCTCCACCAGATGGTGAAGGAGGAATAGAAGATGAAAATAGGTCTGTCTCTGGGTTTCTTCACTTTGACACTTCTACAAAAGGTAAAGCCCTTTAATTTCTACAATTTATTTTGTACACATACTTCATTATTTAAAATGTCAAGATTATTGTGCCTCTGTCCGTAAATTCTGAGCATAGGAAACCTATGTGAAGGAAAAAAAAACATTCTTTTAATAGCTAAGATTATAGGATAGGAAGGAAAGTATTTTTATAAGTGGGTATGGTAGAAATAAAATCAAGCTTGGATTTTTAAGTCTTCACTTTTTAGAATAATGCCCTTTCTAAAGATAGCACAGTCTTTGAGAATGAGCTGAATATAATAGTTTACTTTTCAATGTCCAGGAACAAGTGGTTTACTTCTTTTTATTTTCTAGTACGTCGAAAAATTCTAAGTATTCTTGACTCGATTGACTTCAGTCAGGAGATACCTGAGCCTTTGCAGTTGGATTTTTTCGATCGGGCCCAGATTGAACAAGTTATTGCTAACTGTGAGCACAAGAATTTACGGGGACAGACAGTCTGCAATGTCAAGGTAAGGATTGCTTTAATGTACATTGCTTTAATGACATTGAGCCGTCAGAAAAAAACAGAGCCATATAGTTGTTTTTCCCCTGAACGAATTCTGGTTAATAGCTTAGTGAACTGCAGTATTTATCAAACAGCAGGAAATAAAACCTAATAAACTACATTAACTCTTTTTAGTATTTTTTTTACCTATCTAGAACTATGGATTTGTGTGTGCATGCGTATGTGCAAGTGTGCATGCATGGGCATGCATATGCTTTAACTCAGGGACTGTGTTTTGTCTCTAAAACTTTTTTTGTTGTTGTTGTTGTTCAATTCTAGCAATCCATTTCTGGCTGTGTGTGTGTGTGTGTGTGTGTGTGTGTGTGTGTGTGTGTGTGTGTGTGTGTGTGTGTGTGTGTGTGTGTGTGTGTGTGTGTGTGTGTGTGTGTGTGTGTGTGTGTGTGTGTGTGTGTGTGTGTGTGTGTGTGTGTTTAGATATAAATGTTTCATGGATACTCCTGACTGAATTGTAATTCTCAGATCTCAGCCTCCGGAGTAGCTAGGACTATGGACATGACCCACTGGCACTCAGTATGGAGTGGTGTTAAGTATTTAGCTCTCTACTAAGTAAATGTATCATGGCATCATTATCAGGAAAAAGATGTCCAGGGCAGTGGCATTGACCCTACTGCCACATAGATTCTTTGGTACCACTCTTTGGAATGTGAGGGATACTACAGTTTGTCTGGAAATTGGACAGTACAACTGTTAGATTTTATGTAAAGGTAGTTGGAATCTTTCCCTTTGCTTAGTTTACAGTAATTGCTGTGTGTTGTTATTTTATAGTGTTTGAAATAGTCATGTGTTTTTCTTTTTCCCTAATCATATAGCTTCTACATAGGGTCCTGGTAGCTGAAGTCAATGCTCTTCAGGGTATGGCAGCCATAGGACAGAGACCTTTACTAATGGAGGTAAGTCCCATTGGGTATATGTTCATTTTATCTTTTAATTACTTAAACTACTTAAGTTGTTGCATAAATAGAGAGCCATAAATTGACATGTATTTCATTCATTAGTAAACTACTTAAAAGTTAAGGTGTTATGGAATCTTTCCCTTACAAGTTTATTGTTTTTTTTTTTTGTTGTTTTTTTGTCCCTTGTGGGTCTTGAACTCTGGGCCTGGGCACTGTCCCTTAGCTCTTCAGTTCAAGGCTAGCGCTTTACCACTTGAGCCACAGCGCCACTTTATTGTTTTTATAAACTGAACTGAAATTTAAAGTCTGGCATGCTAACAAAAACAAGTTGTTTTTTTTTTTTTAATTTTTATTTCTGTTACACTGTAGTTACAGAGTGAGATTTAACTTGCTTTTCTTGTGAGTGAGAGAAGAGGGTCATTTGTCATCACAAGTGGGTAGTTATGGGTAGAAGTCATAGAATTGGAAACAGTTGGCCAAATAATAGCGAAGAAACAGATATGTCAGGAAAATGTGCTCTTGAACTTGCAATTCTAGTGTTCTAGAGTGATGGCATTGCAAGAAGAAAAAAGATAAGGCTACAGAGTGCATTTTCATATTTACTGTTATTGTCCCCGCTTTATAGATAAGCATGCAACCTACATGAGTACCTTCTAACCCCTCCTTCTCTAATATGTTCATTTTCTCATCCCTGGTTACCAAAATAAAATCAGAAGATATCTGTGGCCTGACAAACGTGTTACAGATTTTCAAGTATATATTTTTTTAGATAACTGACGTTAAAAATAGTAACCTGTTGATACAGACCTTCTTTGCCAGTGTGTGTTAATTGTATGTTTGACTTTTGATGACGTTAGGAAATCAGCACTATACTTCAGTATGTGGTGGGAAGAAACAAATTGCTTCAATGTCTTCATGCTAAGCGGCATGTGTTGGAGTCGTGGAGGCAGTTGGTGGAAATAATACTGACAGCTTGTCCTCAGGACCTCATTCAGTCAGAAGATCGACAGCTCATTATTCGTGATATTTTACAAGATGTGCATGATAAGGTGAGACATTTTCTAAGTTGCTTTGTGGTGCTGAACAGATCAATATGTACCATTTAAACAAATATTTGCTACCCTAATGTATGTGTATATATTTTTCCAGTACAATACCAATCCTGTGAGAAACGATTAATTCTGTGCAGTAGGGCACTCAGCTAGAGTATGGGTAACAGAATTATTTAGGGAACTTTGCAAAAATGCACAGGTCCACCCAGATATGCTGAATGGGACTCTGGTGTTGAGACTATTTATGTGAATTTCCCAACACAAACCTATGGAATTTTGCTAAGAATCCCTTCAGGTTTAAACGCTAGCTACTTAGCACATTTCAGTTTTTCTCTACAGGTTAGCTTTTTTCTTTTTTCTTTTTTTTTTTTTGGGTCCGGTCGTGGGGCCTGAACTCTGGGCCTGGGCACTGTCCCTCAGCTCTTCAGCTCAAGGCTAGCACTCTACCACTTGAGCCACAGCGCCACTTCCGGCTTTTTTCTTTTTGCTTATGTGGTGCTGAGGAATCGAACCCAGGGCCTCTGGCATGCAAGGCAAGCGCTCTACCACTAAGCGACCTTCCCAGCCCCAGCTTTTTTCTTTTGAATACTTCCATTATATTCTTATTGTTGTGATAGTGCAGAAACTAAATGCTTCTAAAACCCATTGCTCAAAGTGGGATCCTCACTGTGACTTGCTCTGGACCGGCAGATTCTGGATGATGAAGCAGCTCAGGAACTGATGCCCGTGGTTGCGGGTGCCGTATTCACTCTGACCGCCCACCTCAGCCAGGCTGTGCGCACAGAGCAGAAGCAGCCTCTGGGCTCAGGCCCCAGAGACACCCAGTATGCCTTTATGCTTGATGGCTCCTTCGCCTCACCTCTACCAACTGAGGGTCCCCTCATGGGGTTTGCTTCAATTGGAGATTCTTCACTTCACATCATATTGAAGAAACTTTTAGACTTCATTTTGAAGACAGGTATGCCCCCAACCCAAATACGTATAAATTACAGCTTTGTCATTGTTTTAACTTGCCTTCAACAAAGACTTTTAATTGACTACATTTTTGTGCTTTCTACAGGTGGTGGATTCCAACGTGTGAGAACTCACCTGTATGGCTCTCTGCTTTATTACTTACAGATTGCTCAGAGACCAGACGAACCAGATACCTTAGAAGCTGGTAAGAATACAATGATTCCTAACTTACTTGGTTTTTACAGATGGTTACATTAAAAATTAAAACCAGGCTGGGCATACTTAGGAAGCTGAGATCTGAAAATTGCAGTTCAAAGCCAGCCTGGGCAGGAAAGCCCATGAGACTCTTACCTTCAATAAAAAATAAAAAATGTCAAAAATGGAGCTGTGGCTCAAGTGGTAGAGTGCTAACCTTGAGGAAAGAAGTCTAGGGACAACAGCTAGGCCCTGAGTTTAAGCCCAAGACTAGCACATGCACAAGAAAAATCTGGTTGGACACAGTGGCTTACACTTGTAATCCTAGCTACTTGTGGGGGATCGTAGTTTGAGGACAGCCTTAGGATCGGAGAAAAATCTTAGTGAGACTTATCTCAACAAATGAGCCTAGCATGATAGTGCACTACGGTCATCTCAGCTATTTGGGTGGTATAGGTAGGGGGATCACCACGTGAGGCTGGCCCTAGTCAAAAGTTAGACCCTGTAAGCAGGGGGAAGAAAAACTTAAAGCAAACAAAAGCTGGAGGCACAGTTTAAGTGGTAAGAGTCCTTGCTAGGTCCTGAGTTCAAATACCAATACAGAAAAAATAATTTTCATCTTTTGGCTAAACCCAGTTATAATCATTGAGCCTTCATATAATCACCAGTGTGCTCTATAAAGACGAAGTTACCTGTTTAGTATTTAAGAATTACAAAGACGAGTGAGTACTATAAGAAAAAGAAACCCTTAAATAGTTTAGCTATATATTTTGTTTCATTTACCTCCAGCTCCATTGAGCACCTCAAGAGTACATGTGTACTTGATGCTTTTAGCAAGGTGTTATTAATCATAGCACTCCAGAGGCAGATAGTTCTTTCTGCAGTAGACCCTAGAATTCAGGGCTAGCCTGGGCTATCTAGTGAGGCTTTGTCTCAAAAAGCAACAATGAACAATTTCAAAGGCTGCTGTCTCAAGTGCAATTAGCATTTTAATTTAGAATAAAATTGTGGAACCTTTGATTGTCAGGCATGAAAAAAGTTTCAAACTGTTTAACAGATCTGTGTGTATGGTTCTCTGTCAGATATTTTGTTATTTATTAAGAACTTGGCAGAAGGCACTTCTGATAATAGACAATGTGTCCTTCTTTAGAGTTTGTTATTTTTGAAAACCACTGTGTTTAAAAATCTACTTTATCTCATTTTAGTCTTACTGTAATTATCTATTACAGTGTAGTTCCTTATAAATTAATAATAGACAAATGGTAGATTTATACAAGTATATTGCCCACTTATTGTCTCTGAATATATTTAAGGTTAGTAAAAATAGCCAACTAGTTCAAGGGAATTTTTAACCAAAAACAATCCTCTTAAAAATAAATAATACCTAGTGTTACTGGGAGCTATATCAGTAATCCTAGCTACTCAGGAGGATCATGGTATGAAGCCAGATGGGCAGCAAAGTCCATGAGACTCGTATCTTTAGTTAACCAACAAAAAGCTGGAAGTAGAGCTGTGGCTCAAGTGGTAAAGTGCTAGTCTTGAGTAAAAAACACACACACACCCAAGTTCTGGGTTTTTCACTTTCTCTTTCTCTTTCTTTTTCTTTCCCTCTTTCTTTCCCTCTTTCTTTCTTTCTTTCTTTCTTTCCCTCTTTCTTTCTTTCTTTCTTTCTTTCTTTCTTTCTTTCTTTCTTTCTTTCTTTCTTTCTCTCTTTCTTTCTTTCTTTCTTTCTTTCTTTCTTTCTTTCTTTCTTTCTTTCTTTCTTTCTTTCCCTCTTTCTTTCTTTCTTTCCCTCTTTCTTTCTTTTTTTTTCTTTCTTTTTCTTTTTGGTATCTTTTTAATCAAATTAGCAAAATCATTACCAAGCAGAATATTGTACACATACTCTAAGCGAGTAAAAATAATAATTTATCCATCCATCCATTCTAGGACATCACATTATTTGGTTTACAAGAGTCTTACTGAAATACATTATCATACTAGTATCATTGTACATTTAAATTGCCTTTATAGTTGATGTGTTTTTTTTTGATGTCAGAGCTGGGGCTTGAACTCAGGACCTGAGAGCTGTAACTTAGGTTTTGTGTTCAAGACACTTGAGCCATAGCTCCACTTCTGGCTTTTTACTTGTCAATTGGAGGTAAGAGTCTCATGGACTTTCCTGCCTATACTGGCTTCAAACCTAGACCCTCATATTTCAGCCTCTTGAGTAGTGTGTGAACCACTAGCACCCAATCCTCTGGCTTGAATTCAGGGCATGAGCATTGTCCCTTATGCTTTCTTTTGGAGAGCACTCTACCACTTGAGCCACAGAGCCACTTCCAGCCTTTTCTGTTTATGTTGTGCTTGAGGAATTGAACCCAGGGCTTTATGCATGCTAGGCAAGCACTCTGCCGCTAAGCCACATTTCCAGCCTATCCAGCTCTAGTTTTAATAAGTATTTCAGATTAAAATGGATTTTTGGGGGAGAAGATTTTCTTTACGTTGTACTCGAGTACCTGATATACCTGATCTTTACTAGTTAAATTCTCAAAGCTCTTAATAAAAGATAGAAGCAGATAATTTAACAGGATGAATATAGTGCACAGTTAATTTAAATTTCTTAAACAATACCTTGTCCATTTCCTGAAACTGTTGTTAATTTAAAGTACATGCATAATGTATACGGGCTATTAAAGTTCACTTGGTCTCTGGTTAGTGGCTCTTCGTTAAATATAATAATTGAAAGGATGTTTATGTTACTTAGATATAATCTACTCAGTTACTAAACCAATTCTGTTTCAGCAATCAAAGGATTGCCTGCCTGTCCTTCTTTCTTCCCTCCTTCCCTTCTTCTCTCCCTCCCCCCTCTCTTTTCTTGTTCCCTTTCCCCTACCCCTCCCTTCTTCTTTCCTGAATAAAGTTTTTTAGTGCTCTTCCTCTTGAGCCATGGCTCCAGCATTAAGCTACGGTTTATTGCTTTTTCTGTTTTAACCCTTTTAGCTAAGAAAACCATGTGGGAAAGACTGACAGCCCCTGAAGATGTTTTTAGTAAATTACAGCGAGAAAACATAGCTATAATTGAGAGTTATGGGGCTGCTCTCATGGAAGTGGTCTGTCGAGATGCTTGTGATGGGCACGAGATTGGAAGGGTAAGATAGTTTTCTTATGAATAATTATTCTGTCTTTATGACGGTATAAATGGGATCAGGGTTCAAAGTGTATGCTGAGAATGATTTTCCATACTATTTTATAGTGAATTTGTTTATTTGCTTTAATTATACACTTGTGTTATTTTGTTCCTTCCTATTTTGTTTAATTCCGTTTGGAGTTTTAATTAACTCAGAATTTATCCTGAGAATTTGTTAATTTTTTGGTCACATGTTTTTGTTAGCTTTAATTACTTGTATACGAGGATTTTCTTTTCTATAATTTGAGATTGCTGTTAAAACAACAGTTGTAGAAAGAACAGTATTCTCCTTAAAAAACTATCTTTAGTTAACAGACTGCTGGATGAATTACTTTTACACTGAATATATTTTTCTTTGCCCTAGTGGTTTGTATAGGGGAACTTGCATTTATGTTTCTTTAAAGTGTCTTGGCATACTGATAAAATCATGTTTTTTAAAAACAATTTTAAGAAGTAGGATTAAAATACAAACTAGCAATCTCTCAATTATGTTAAGCTTTTTTTTTTTTTTTGGTGTCCGGTCGTGGGGCCTGAACTCTGGGCCTAGGCACTGTCCCTCAGCTCTTCAGCTCAAGGCTAGCACTCTACCACTTGAGCCACAGCGCCACTTCCGGCTTTTTTCTTTTTTGCTTATGTGGTGCTGAGGAATCGAACCCAGGGTCTCAGGCATGCAAGGCAAGTGCTCTACCACTGAGCCACCTTCTCAGCCCTATGTTAAGCTTTCTAAAACATTTTTATGCATAGAATAAACACTGGGAAAAGATAGACTAAATGCTTTAATTATATTTATTAGATTATGTATTTCTTTTTTTTTTTTCCCTTTGAATTCAGGGCCTGGGTACTGTCACTGACCTCTTTTTGCTCAAGGCTAGCATTCTACCACTTGAGCCACAACTCCACTTCTGGTTTTTTTGGTGGCTAATTGAGATAAGCATTTTATGAACTTTCCTGCCTGGGTTGACTTTGAACCACAATCTTCAGATCTCAACCTTCTGAGCAGCTAGGATTACAGGTGTGAACCACCATCTCCAGGCCTTTTCTTTTTCTTTCTTTTCTTTTTAAGCCAGATTGGGGCTGAAATTCAAGAGTCTTGAGCTTTCATGTGACTTTTCTGCTCATGGCCTTTGGTCTACTTGAGCCACACCTCCAGTCCAGCTGGTTAATTGGAGTAGAATCTCACAGACTTTTTTGTTTGAGGTGGCTTTCAACCTTGATCTTCAGATCTCAGCCTCCTGACTAGGATTTCATATGTAACCTGCTAATTCCTGGTAGGTTATCACATAATATTTCAGAAATAACGGCTTTTTTTTGTTTTGTTTAGAAAAAAAACAAGTCCTTTTCTCTTTTAACAAGTAATGTCTGAGTTCAGCTAAAATATACTTAGTGTCATTATTTTAATGTGTTAGTTTTGTTACTAAAGTACAACTTTACCCTGAAAAGTTTTAATTTTATTAACAAATCAAGATTCTGAATATTTACAGTTTTAAACTTCTCAAATAATTAAGGAAATTCTATGAGAAGCAACCATTTTCCTTGTTAGAAAAGATCTGAAGATCTCCAGATAAAAGGCAATGACTGTGGTTGATTTTGATAGTCATCAGCATGTTTGGAACTGGATTAATTTGTTTTTTTTATATTTAGATGCTGGCCCTGGCTCTTCTTGATCGGATTGTCTCTGTGGATAAGCAGCAACAGTGGCTTTTATATCTCAGTAACAGTGGCTATCTGAAGGTCCTCGTGGACAGCTTGGTAGAAGATGATCGTAATTTACAGAGCTTACTCACTCCACAGCCTCCTCTTTTAAAGGCCCTTTATACTTATGAATCCAAAATGGTAAGACTACATGGAATGTGATGTAATAGCATCAGCTTATTTCCTTTGGGGTCTGTAAGTGTATTAAGGAAAACTAATGTGCGTGTTTTGAGTATCTGTTATATCAGCTGTGATCATTTTAAAGGAGTTTTAATCTGTTTGAGGAATGTATTTTATGAGTGTGTGAAAGGTGTCCTGAGTGATCCTGAGTGGAGGGTTCATTGGATAAGGGACTGCTTTCTCCCTGGTAGTGTTCCAAGAAGTGAGGAGAGAACCATCAGGTTAGTACTATAGTTTTGACTAATGAAAATTCCATTTTGCTGTTTCTACTTTTTTTTTCTGATTCTGGGGCTTGAATTCAGGGTCTGAGCACTGTCCTGTCCCTAAGCTCTTTTGCTTAGGCTAGGTCTCTACCATTTGAGCCACATTTTCACTTCTGACTTGTTTGGTAGTTATCTCACAGACTTTCTTGCCAGTCTGGCTTCAAACCGTGATCCTCAGATCTTCTGAGTAGCTAGGATAATAGATGTGAGCCACTGGTATCTGGCGTTCTATATATTTTGTTTTTGTTTTTGCTGGTCTTGGGGCCTGAACTCTGGATCTGAGCGCTGTCCCTGAGCTTCCTTTGCTCAAGATGAGCACTCTATTACTTGAGATACAGCACCAATTCTGGCTTTTTTTGAGTAGTTTATTGGCGATATGAATCTCACTGAATTTCCTGCCTGGGCTGGCTTTGAACCGTGATCATCAGATTTCAACCTCCTGAGTAGTTAGGATTATAGGCGTGAGCCATGGCGCCTAGCTATACTTTGTTGTTTGTTTGTTTTTTTAATAAATTGTTATTAGTAAGGAATTATACAAAGGAGTTATAATTCCCTAAATCAGGTAATGAGTATAGTGCTTCTTGGACAGGTTACCCATTCCTTCACTTCCCCCTATTTTCCTTGTAGTTTTGAACATAGGCTTTTAAACACTTTATTATTTTTTTCCCTTCAAATCTGTTTGTTTGTTTCCTACTAAACTTAAATGTCACAATTGATGGAAGCACTGAAATCTTAGATTGTTCTCGAATTCTTGTTTCTGTCTTTGTTCATTTTTTTTTCATGTATTTAGTAAATGCCATGTACCAAATAGAGATCAAGGTACTAGAGATACAAGCTATGAACAAGAGAGACACGACCCTGTCTCTGTAAGGGCAAATGGTGAAGACAGAAACTAGAGTTTTAACTGGATATTAATTCATTGAAGGCACCATGTGTAGGCATGTATTACTGAGTCCTCATGAATATCTTTTGAGGAGGGAAGTGTATGTGTAGCTAGCTCAGAACTTTTCTTCATTGGTGACCAAAGGTGGGCAATATGCTGTGAAAGTTGTCATTTTTACATGAGGCCCTTGGGATATGACTTCTGTAGTGACAGTTTTCCTTCCATAACTCTGTAGGCCTTTCTCACAAGAGTGGCTAAGATACAGCAGGGCTCTTTAGAGCTACTAAGATCTGGGGTGATTGTGAGACTAGCACAATGCCAAGTCTATGACATGCGGCCAGAAACAGACCCACATGGGTAAGTATCCATATAGATTAGTTTGGTTAAATGCCCAGTAAAGGGTTCATGAAGGTGAAAAAAAACCCAAATATAATTTGGCTACTGGTTTATAGCTCTGTCATTTTTTTTAGGGGGTGGTTGTTTATATGTGCTATCACTTGCTAATAAATACAAGTTGCTGATGAGGGTAAATAGTAATAAGTAGTTATCTGGTAAGACTTCTAATTTTATAGTTCCATAGAAATACATATTTTACAGAGGCCTTAAAAAGGCCTATAATACTATAACCATATGTAATACTATATAACTATAAATACTTGAAAGTATTATGGTAAAAGTATGGCTTGTTGCTATGTGTGGTCGCTCAAACCTGTAATCCCAACGCTTGGGGGCCAAGGCAGGCAGAACATCATTGTGAGTCTACCCAGTGTGGCCCTATCGTAAAAAACAGAAAAAATGATCATTTGTTGTAGATTTCCTTTTCATGGTTTGAGTAGATTTTTTGAGTTTATGTGTATTTTTCTCATTTTAATATTTTGCCTGTTGCTTAGGTTCTAACTTCAAATAAAATTATTTTCAAGCTTCAAGCTTTTCAGCATATTCTTAGTTCAATTTGAATGGAGAATTCTATTAAATTTATTTATTTATTTTTGGGTCCAGTCGCGGGGCCTGAACTCTGGGCCTGAGTGCTGTCCCTCAGCTCTTCACCTCAAGGCTAGTGCTCTACCACTTGAGCCATAGCGCCACTTCTGGCTTTTTTTTTCTGCTTGTGTGGTGCTGAGGAATCAAACCCAGGTCCTTATGCATGCAAGGCAAGCGCTCTACCACTGAGCCACCTTCCCAGCCCTAGAATTTATTTTTTTGTCTACATGACTACAGCATTATGTGTTCTACAACATTCCCTCCTAATAAATGACTTGGTAGTAGGTTTAGCAATTATTTAGAGAGGATTCATTGACAAGTTAAATGTTTGACTTTCCCCAAGCTTAACTACATGACTATATTATTTTAGGAGGAGGAAAATTATTTTTGACATTGCTTACTAAGGTTTAAAAGATAAAAGTTACTAAGCAGGCGCCAGTGGCTCACGCCTGTAATCCTAGCTACTCAGGAAGCTGAGATCTGAGGATCACGGGTCAAAGCCAGCCCGGGCAGGAAAAGTCCATGAGGTTCTTTTTTTTTTTGTCTGGTCGTGGGGCCTGAACTCTGGTACCTGAGTGCTTTCCCTCAGCTCTTCAGCTCAAGGCTAGCACTCTACCACTTGAGCCACAGCCCCACTTCTGGCTTTTTCTGCTTATGTGGTGCTGAGGAATTGAACCCTGGGCCTCATGCATGCAAGGCAAGTGCTCTACCACTGAGCCACCTTCCCAGCTGCTCCATGAGGTTCTTATCTCCAATAAACCACTAGAAAACCGGAAGTGGTGCTGTGGCTCAAGCGGTAGAGTGTTCGCCTTGAGCTGAAGAGCTAAGGGATAGCGCCCAAGCCCAGAGTTCAAGCCCCACGACCAAAAAAAAAAAAAAAAAAAAGATGAAAGGTACTGTTTTCACTAACATAAATACGTTCATGGTGTATCATCACTTGTCTCTGCAAAGCCTTTCTTTGCAATTTTTTTAATTAAATTTTTAAAATTGGGGCTGGAAAGGTGGCTCAGTGGTAGAGTGCTTGCCTCACATGCATGAGGCCCAGGGTTCAATTCCTCAGCACCACATAAGCAGAAAAAGCCAGAAGTGGGGCTGTGGCTCAAGTGGTAGGTGCTAGCCTTGAGCTGAAGAGCTGAGGGAAAGTACTCAGGTACCAGAGTTCAGGCCCCACAACTGACAAAAAAAAAAAAATTGTTTTTATAAAGGTGTTGTACAAAGGGGTTACAGTTACATGAGTCAGGTAAAGAATACATTTCTTTCTGGATAGTGACAACCCCTCCTTTGCTTTCCCAGTTTTTCCCTCCCATCCTCATCCACAAGTTAAGTAGTTCATTTCAACATGTGGTATTTCTTTTTATATTCTGCTTCTGTTTCCTCTCAATAGGCAGCCATTTGCTTTTGTCTAAAAATTTAACTATAACTATTTACATTGAAGAGTTTATTAATATAGTAGTATAAAAGCTTAATCTTTTTTTGGGGGGGTGGTGGTTGTGGGGCTTGAACTCAGGGCCTGGGCAATATCCCTGATCCTCTCTGTGCTCAAGGCTAGTGCTCTACCACTTGAATCACAACACCACTTCTGGTTTTTGAGTGGTTAATTGGAGATAAGAGTCTCATGGGGACTTGGGCTGGCTTCGAACCGTGATCCTCAGATCTAGCCTCCTGAGTAGTTAGGATTATAGGTGTGAGCTACCAGTACCTGGGCAGCTAAAACCTAATCTTAAAGGCTGATTTTATATGAACCTCACTTTATTTTCTATAATGGACTAGTTTAGAGTTGTTTTTAGCTTGGGTATAAGAGAAAGAAATTCAAGGCTAGCACTCTATCACTTGAGCCACAGCTCCACTTACTGTTTTTTAGTGGCTTATTGGAAATAGGAGTCTCACAGACTTTCTTGCCCCGGCTGGCTTTGAACCGTGATCCTCATATTTCAGCCTCCTGAGTAGCTAGGATTACAGGCATAAGCCACTAATGCGCTAGGCAGAAAGTAGCTTTGTGTTATGTATTTCTTACAGTCTCTATCATTAACCTAGGCACTAGTGGCTCCATGACTATAATCCTAGCTACTTGGGAGGTAGAGATTGATTAGAATATAGTACAGCCGGGCGCTGGTGGCTCACGCCTGTAATCCTAGCTACTCCGGAGGCTGAGATCTGAGGATCGTGGTTCAAAGCCAGCCTGGGCAGGAGAGACCGTGAGACTCCTATCTCCAATAAACCACCAGAAAGCTGGAAGTGGCGCTGTAGCTCAAGTGGTAGAGTGCTCGCCTTGAGCTGAAGAGCTAAGGGACAGCGCCCAGGCCCAGAGTTCAAGCCCCACGGCCGACCAAAAAAAAAAAAAAAAAAATAGAATATAGTACAAAGCCAGCCTAGGAAATCTAACTAGATAGAGCTAGTAGGAATAGAGATATATCTAGCTGTAGAGCAACTGTCTAAAATACACAAAGCCCTAGTTCAAAATTTGAATTTTTCCAAATTCAAATACCCCTGTTTTTACTAAGCTATGGGTTCAGAAAAGGTACGGATTTCTTTGAACCTTCAATGTATATTAGAATGCAGAGTACCCATTAATGTGTTTGCATCTTAGTAAGCTGTCTATGATTCATGTGCCACATAAATGGTAAGGGGATGCTAAGAACATACTTTTATTTTGTAATGTTGTTCTCTCTGGTTGAAATTAATGAAGCGTGTTTGGCGTGAGAGATCCCCCAATGTTCATCCCTACACCTGTGGATCGCTACCGTCAGATTCTGCTTCCAGCTCTCCAGCTGTGCCAGGTCATTCTTACATCCAGTATGGCCCAGCACTTGCAGGCAGCAGGGCAGGTAAGATAAATCTTTTGCTTAGAAACCATGTAATGATGGAGAGGTTGGTTTGGGAGGGATGAAGGAGAATAATGAAAGGAGTGACATCAATTAACATTCATTGTATTCATAAACTGACTTCTTGAATGGTAACCCCTTTGAATAACTACTTAAAGATTAAAAAATGTAATTAAGTTTCTACTTCTAATAAATTTTTGTTGTTGTTATTGGTTGTGGGGCCTGAACTCTGGGCCTGGGCGCTGTCCCTCAGCTCTTCAGCTCAAAGCTAGCACCCTACCACTTGAGCCACAGCGCCACTTCCAGCTTTTTTCTCTTATGTGGTACTGAGGAATCGAACCCAGGGCCTCATGCATATGAGGCAAGCACTCTACCACTGAGCCAACGTCCCAGCCCTACTTCTAATAAATTTTAAGTGAAAGATAAATTCAGCAAAAATAAACCATGTAATGCAAAATCCTCCTAGAAATGCAGGAGTCTTGTGAATAGAAAATTTAAATGAATTCATTGTAATCCTACTGTTTTTAGCAGAGATAGGCCCTTACCCTTTACTGTGAACTACATGCTTATTTTTGTGTTCTTATATGAATGAAACATAAAATGAAACATATGTATGAATTAATAGAATCCTGACATAGAAAGCAAGCAATCAAAATGTGTGCCTCTGGAAAAGAAAACAATGAGCGTGGTGGCATACTCCTAAAATCCTATAACTTGGGAGTAACACAAGAGATTCATACTTTTGAGGCCAACTTGGACTGCATGAATCTAGTGTTTTTGTTCAATTGCTTTGTTAGACTGTGATGCCCTCAGGAACTGTGTCCTGTTAACTTTCCCTGCCATTAGACTCAGACCTATCTTACCAGGGCTGCTGCTGCTGCTGTTTCTTTCCTCCCTGTTTTCTTTCCTCCCTCCCTCCTTGCTTACTTACTTCCCTCCCTTTTCGATATCCCTCCCTTCTTACTTTCCTTCTTTACTGGGATTTGAACTCAGGGCCTGGGCGCTATCTCTAAGCTTTTAGCTCAAGGGTAGCTCTACATAGCTCCACTTCCAGCTTTTTCAGTAGTTAGAGATAATAGTCTCACTTATTTTTCAGTCTAGGCTGGCTTCAAACCTTGATCCTCATATCTCAGCCTCCTGAGTACCTAGAATTATAGGTATGATCCACTCGTGCCCAGCAATACTGGGTACTGGGCACCATCATAGGCTAAGTGACACATTTTACCCCATTCACACATAAGTACTCTTTGGAAAAGACTTCTAGTGTTTTTCTTTAAGACTTTTAAAGTAGAACTGGGATATTGACACAAGATATTGGTTCCCTGGTACCAGTGTTGTATTGACTAGCAGAATCACGTACAAAACATCTTTAAAAAGAGTTTGGATTGCCGGGCGCTGGTGGCTCATGCCTGTAATCCTAGCTACTCAGGAGGCTGAGATCTGAGGATCGCGGTTCAAAGCCAGCCCGGGCAGGAGAGACTGTGAGACTCCTATCTCCAATAAACCCACCAGAAAACCGGAAGTGGTGCTGTAGCTCAAGTGGTAGAGCGCTCGCCTAGAGCTGAAGAGCTGAGGGACAGCGCCCAGGCCCAGAGTTCAAGCCCCACGACTGACAAAAAAAAAAAACAAAAAGTTTGGATTGCTGATCTCCACATACATCAATTATGGACTGAGGCTGAGAGTGTTATGGAAAAATTAAGGTGGACACAGTTCCTCGGGTGCTCAGCTTGCTTTGGGTTAGTCTGTAGAGCCTGCAGACTAGTTGAGATGTTTCTGTGTGAAAGTTCTGGGAGAATCCTGTCTCCATGGTGGTGTGCTACTGAATGCCAAAGGAAAGGCCAGAGTTCAGAGGTTAGCATTTATGACTCCTTTGTTCTTACCACATCAAAAGGAGAGTGAGGCAAAAGATTTTGTGTGCTGTCCCTAGGTCACACTAGTCAGATGTTATAAGAGCACTTCTTGGCCATTTTCCACTCATTTAAAATTTTTATTTCACTTTAACACTAAAAGAAATAAAATAGGTATTTTTAGTCATTATTTCCAAGTTATGTTATATTTTTCTATTTTTCTATAAAAGCCTCTGCATGTATTAGTTTACAGACCTTGAAATAGTTCTCTTTAGCTTTCTTACAAATTTTAGTTCCTTTATTTAGTTCTCTGAAGTAAACTATTCAAGACAAGAAACACTTGGTTTTCTTATTCTTCCTCATAACACTGAATTGTTTGCTTCAACATTACTTAAAGATGAATTGATCTGTTTATAATACAGTTTTCTATTCTGACCTCTGTTTCATCTTTGTCCTGATCCTTGGCTCAGGTGTTGCAGTTTCTCATTTCCCATTCTGATACCATACAAGCAATCCTCCGCTGTCAGGATGTGAGTGCTGGCTCTTTGCAGGAACTGGCTCTGCTGACAGGCATTATAAGTAAAGCTGCACTTCCTGGTAAGTTGTGTTGAATGGAATTAATACGTCTTTAGAGAATGCACATAAACAATAGAATGAAGTTTTTAGTTACTTTGTAGTTATCTTTGGCTTAATATGAAATTAGTACTGCTGTGCCTACTGCCTTTATATCTTGTTTATATTTATAAAAATAATGTTATGTGAACTGAATGCTGGTAATCCTAGTTACTCAAGAGGTTGAGGTTTTAGGATTATGGTTTGAAGCCAGCCGAAGCAGAGAAGTTTGCAAGATTTCCAATAAACTACCCAAAAAAAGCCAGAAGTAAGACTGTGCCTCAAGTCATAGAATGCTGTCCTTGAGCAAAAGTAGCTCAAAGTTAGCACCCAGGCCTTTAATTCAAGCTCTAGGACTGGCACACAAAATTATTTGCTTATGAAAGTTAAAAAAAATTTCAAGGAAAATAATTAAGACATTCAAAAACCTCATTACCTAGAAACGATCAAATATTAACATTTGAAAAATAGCTTTTCAAGTATTGCACATTTTTTGTCATGATGGAGAGAGAAACATATCCACTGCAGAGGTAACTTTTGAGAATATGCTATTAGAAAAACAATTACTTAATATTACATGAATTTAGTAGTTTCAAGACAAATTGAAGAGATATGAAAGGAATTGCTGAATTGTAGGGAAATACTTCATTGTAAGAGCTCAGAAATGCTAGTTCTTAAAAGGTCATTATGGCTAAGAAAAAAAGATTACAATAAAGACTTCCTGTTACTTTATTTCCAATATAATTTCCTTACTATGTATGAGTATAGAATCAGTCCTTATGGCTAGAAAGGTGGCTGAGTGGTAGAGTGCTTGCCTTGCATGCATGAGATCCTGGGTTCGATTCCTTAGCACCACATAGGCAGATAAAGCTCGAAGTGGCACGGTGGCTTAAGAGGTAGAATGCTAGCCTTGAGCTGAGGAACAGTAACTGGCCAAAAAAAAAAAAAAAGAATCAGTTCTTAAATGTGAAAGATTAAGTGGTGGGTTCTGGTACATGATTCTCTTCCATTTTCAGGTTGTTACGATAATATTTTATAACATGAGTTTTTCTTTTGGTTGTCCTTTAGTGATTTGTTTAGTTGTTTTTCTTAGTGGTTTTGATTTATGTTGCATGTTCTCAAGAAAAAATATTTCCTAAATTCTCTAGTGAAAAATACAAAGAATAAGACCTATTTCCTAAATCCTGTAATGTTTAGTAATGTCTGGTTGGGTGTTGGTGGCTCATGCCTGTAATCCTAGCTATTTCAGTTCAGGCAGAAGAGTTTGCTAGATTCTTTCTTCAAAATAACTGGCAAAAAGCAGGACTAGAGGTATGGCTTATGTGCTCAGTGCCAGCCTAGCTAGTGCAAGGCAGTATCAACACCAGAAGAAAACAGAATATCTAGGAGAACTTTGTATCCCATTTTCTTGGCTGAGCATGGAGAACACCAGAAGCAAGGAGTCAGGTTTCACTAGGCAGTTGAAGCAAGAAAAAGAACCAAACACGTCATTTGGAAAACATCATGGATGGGAAGAAAATGAGATTCCTTTTCCAAGAAGAAAGCAGAAAACAAGAATCAAAACCTTGGTGCTGGGAAGGTGGCTCAGTGGTAGAGTGCTTGTCTTGCATTCATGAGGTCCTGGGTTTGATTTCTCAGCACCACATAAGCAGGAAAAGCCGGACGTGGCACTGTGACTCAAGTGGCAGAGTGCTAGCCTTGAGCTGAAGAGCTGAGGTACAGTACCCAGACCCAGAGTTCAGGCCCCACGACCAAAAAAAAAAAGGGGGGGGGCTGGGAAGGTGGTTCAGTGGTAGAGTGCTTGCCTTGCATGCATGAGGCCCTGGGTTCAATTCCTTGGTACCACATAAGCAGAAAAAGCTGGAAGTGGTGCTGTGGCTCAAGTGATTGAGCACTAGACTTGAGCTGAAGAGCTGAGGGACAGCACTCAGGACCAGAGTTCAGGCCCATGACCGACCAAATAAACCCCCCAAAAACAGCATTCAGTGAGGTTAGACTACAAGGATGAAGGTAACATCTAAGGTTTCTTGGCTGCTTTTCTGATGCTTTCGAGGGGTGGATAATCTTGTTAGAGCAACAGCCATGACTGGAGACTGATCGTGCCCTGGAGGATGGTTACCTCCCCAAGCAGTCCAGAATCGAGCCAGTGATGTCAGCAGCATTTCAAGTTCATCCCCAAGACTAGGTGGATAACCACCTCACTTTTGGATAACCACCTCACTTTTGGGTGTGAAGACAGAGGGGTGTGTGTGTGTGTGTGTGTGTGTGTGTGTGTGTGTGTGTGTGTGTGTGTGTGTGTGTGTGTGTGTGTGTGTGTGTGTGTGTGTGTGTGTGTGTGTGTGTGTGTGTGTGTGTGTGTGTGTGTGTGTGTGTGTGTGTGTCACTTTTGGGTGTGAAGACAGAGGGGTGTGTGTGTGTGTGTGTGTGTGTGTGTGTGTGTGTGTGTGTGTGTGTGTGTGTGTGTGTGTGTGTGTGTCCTAAGCAGACCCTGTGTGTGTGTGTGTGTGTCCGTCCTAAGCAGACCCTGGGCAGGGACTTGTTTGTTATAGTCTGTTACTGCTGTTCTGTGACCATTACAACAGATAAGTCTATTCAGAAGGCCTATTCAGAAGTCCTGGAAGGCTTTTCTAAGCCTGTGGTCCCTGCCCTACCACTGATTCCCCAACCTGTAAGTTGTATTTTAGTGTTTGTTGCCATGTAGTTTTTGCATTTTGTTTTCTTTTATTATATGACAGTATACTAAACAACAATAACAAAAAAGGCCAGGCGCCTGTGGCTCACACTTGTAATCCTAGCTTCTAAGGAGGCTGAGATCTGATGATCACAGTTCAAAGCCAGCCCAGGCAGGAACGTCCAGGAGACTCTTATCTCCAATAAACCACCAGAAACCCAGAAGTAGTGCTATGGCTCAAGTGGTACAGCACTTCCTTTGAGCTGAAGAGCTAAGGGACAGTGCCCAAGCCCAGAGTTCAAGCCCCATGACTGACCAAAAAAAATCAAACAAATGAATGAATGAATGTCTAAATGCTTTCATTGCCCTTCAGTTATATATCAAGTACTTTGTTATTTGTCTCTTTGTGGTGCTGGGTTTGTATATGCTAGGCACTGAGTTTTATCCCTTCAGTTATATATCAAGTACTTTGTTATTTGTCTCTTTGTGGTGCTGAGTTTGTCTATGCTAGGCACTGAGTTTTGTCCCCAGCCTCACGGCACTGCTTTAAATACTGATGTGTTAATTGATTTGAAGACACAGTAGTCTTAGTCTTAATAATGTGCACACTTTACAGGTGAGGTGCCTGAGGCACAGAGAGGTTAACTTCTCCTAAATCCCATAGATAACACTGGTAGTATAGCATTTCCTAGGCAATGTGGCTTTTGAACTGGGATGTTTTCTATCTCCGTTTTTATGTTGCTCTGGAGAATTCCAGTGCCCTGATTTCTGCCACCGTCCCAAATTCTCTTCCTTCCTTCCTTCCTTCCTTCCTTCCTTCCTTCCTTCCTTCCTTCCTTCCTTCCTTCCTTCCTTCCTTTTTTTATTGTGAAAATACCATACAGAGGGGTTACAATTACATGGGCAAGGTAATGAGTACATTTCTTATTAAGGATTGTTGCCTCCTCTTTTGTTTTCCGTTCCCATCCCTTCCTATCTTCCCCTCCCTTCCCCCTTTCCTACCCCCCCCCCCCCAAAGTTATAAAGTTTGTTTTTCGACATAATGTCTTGTACATCTCATTGTTGCAATGGGTCTACCTGTTTCCCTATTTAAACGATTTGTTTTTTCCCTTCCCCTCCACAAAGTACACCAACATCAAATATAGTGAAAACAGGGGTTATATCATGGGGGGAGGGACATACAAAGCAACAAAGAAATCATCTTATAAATGTGTTAGAAACAATCCCAAGAAAGAAAAAAACATTTGAATCCTTCTCTTGGGGTTCATTTCGGCTAACGTCAACTTATCTGACCGTTTCTGCTTGTCTCAGACATATATTAGTAACCAAATACTTTTCTTGTCTGAGGGTGCTTTGGTGCCTGAGACCCATGTATCGAGTGTGGCTGATTGTAGTGCTTGTTGAAGTATTTGACTGATGCTTCTTCTGAGGAAATGTCAGTTCTCTCCATTCAGCGTGTGGTATGTCTTAAGTTTTCAGCCTAGTCCCATGTCCCACAATGGTACCAAAGCAGGACACTCTTCTTGCCTCAACTGAGGTCCTATAGTTGTATGTATATAGTGGTTGCCCTAACGGGTTTTCCCTTTATTTCTTTAAGATGTAACTCAATATGTTTCTCTGTGAATGGCAGGATTTCCATAAGGGTTTGTTAGTTTATCTGCTTTCTTCCAGCTGCTTCTGAGGATGAATAAGAGTTGTGAGCTGAGTCATGCCGCTCATTCCAACAGGATTTCCTGCCCTTGTCCTCAACCACCACTATTACTCAGTATCTATGGCATAAGTAGGCCCTTTCCTTGTATGGTGAACTTCATCCATCTTGTAGGCCAAAGCTGTCATTAGAAATCAGTTAATTACTATGTTTAGAAAGTTTTAGCCTTATAGTTACAAGTAAAATTGGATTTTTCTTGAAAACATAAAAAATGTGTTTTGGAATTGCCCATTTAGATTTTAGTTTTCATATAAATGCACGCATGTTCTTGGTGGTGTTACTAATATACTAAAGGCATAGTCTTTGTAAAATCATATTTCTCAAAACATTGTTCATGCAAGTAAACAATATAAGAGAACTTACCTTTCTAGTTTATAGTTTCCTTTTAATATACAGTAAAGCTAGATTTTAAAATGTTTCATCACACTTTGCAGGTATATTATGTGAACTTGATGTTGATGTAAACGAAGGATCTCTAATGGAGCTGCAAGGACATATTGGAAGATTCCAGGTAATCAGTTAGTTCTTAATGTGTTTAAGTACCAGTTTTAGGATGTGTTACAAAAATATAACAGTCCTGTGAGTCTCCCTTTCTAACTCTGTGCCCCAGGTTTTGGCAACTCCTTTTAGCTGTTGCCATCTCTGAGTAATTATATTACTACATGATTTTCCCCATTGGAAATCATATTTTGCCTTTCCTTGGAAGATGAGAATTTTTATCTCGTTACTCCTTTTCTTCTACCATACAATATGTATATTTCATCCCTCCAAAAACTCAGTATAATTATGTCATAATTTTGGTTATATTAATATTTAGTGTTGCATTATTATGTCTGTATAAACATAATTTATGATTAAGCCACTGTTACTTTTCTTTTCTTTTTTTTTTTTTTTTGGGTCTGGTCATGGGGCCTGAACTCTGGGCCTGGGCGCTGTCCCTCAGCTCTTCAGCTCAAGGCTAGCGCTCTACGACTTGAGCCACAGTGCCACTTCCAGCTTTTTTCTGTTTGCTTATGTGGTGCTGAGGAATCGAACCCAGGGCCTCATGCATGCAAGGCAAGCACTCTACCACTGAGCCACCTTCCCAGCCCCCACTGTTACTTTTCTATGAAGTGTTTTGTTTTCTCTGGGGTTGATGATTACAAAGTAGCAGGATACAAAACCAACATTAAATCAGTAGTTTTTCTGTATATCAATAGTAAAAAGACTGAAAAATAAATCAGGAAAACAATCCTATTCACAGCTTCAAAAGTAAATACCTAGGAATAAACTAAGAAAATGAAAGACCTCTCTAATGAAAACAGTATAAAACATAGAAGAAATTGAAGATGATGTTAGCATGTCAAAAGGCCTCATTTTAATTTTCATTTGTTTATTGACTGGTGTTTCATTTAACAAGTACCTCTGAAGTTACTACATTGTTTTTTGTATGAAGCATAAAATTCCTTGACAAGCATTTAAGCTTTTTTGAGGATTTGTTTCTAAAATAAGTAGCATTCTTTTTTTTTTTATTTGGTCAGTTATGGGGCTTGAACTTTGGGCTTGAGTGCTGTCCCTCAGCTCTTCAGCTTAAGGCTAGCTGTCTACCACTTGAGCCACAGGGCCACTTCCAGTTTTTGAGTGGCTTATTGGAGATAAGAGTCTCAAGGACTTTCCTGCCTGGGCTGGCTTTGAACTGTGATCATCAGATCTCAGCCTCCTGAGTAGCTAGGATTACAGGCAGGCATGAGCCATCTGCGCCCAGCTACATTCATCTTCTTTTCTAGCAGGGCTTCTTACTTGGCTCAGTGGGAAGTAGAATCCAAAACTTTTCAAGAGTGATTCCACTTTCCACTGAGGCTTTATCATCCTCAAGAAAGACAGGTCACTGGGGCTGGGAAGGTGGCTCAGTGGTAGGGCGCTTGCCTTGCATGCTCGAGGCCCTGGGTTCGATTCCTCAGCCCCATATAAGCAAAAAGAAAAAAGCCGGAAGTGGCGCTGTGGCTCAAGTGGTAGAGTGCTAGCCTTGAGCTGAAGAGCTGAGGGACAGCACCCAGGCCCAGAGTTCAGGCCCCACGACCGGACCAAAAAAAAAAAAAAAGAAAGACAGGTCACTAATTTCAACACATTTGGCTAGATATCAACAAACTTTCCTTCTTTTTAGCGCCAGTGCTTAGGACTGCTAAGTCGCTTTGGTGGTGCTGACAGACTACGGCAGTTTAAATTTCAAGATGACAATGTGGATCGTGATAGGGTGAACAAGAAGGATGAGATGGAACTGGCCATGCAGCAGGTAGGAAGGATCAGAGATGTGTGCAGTTTTACTAACTGCTCTGTAGCCTTGTTTTCCTTCTCTGTATTTCTATAATGTTAGGGCATTAGTGGGCTAATGTTTTTGTTGCTGCTGCCGCTCTTTCACTGCAGATTTGTGCCAATGTAATGGAATACTGCCAGTCCCTTATGCTGCAGAGCTCCCCCACCTCCCAGCATGCAGTGTGTCTTTTCACACCTAGCCTTTCAGAGACCATTAACAGAGATGGACCACGGCAAGGTGAGCCTGATTCTTTTCTTGTGTCTGAGGAACACAAAGTTGCTATGGTTATGACACAGCTTGGATACAGAGACACAATTTTTCTTTATGAGTTAGTAATGAACACATTTCAAAATGACTTTTTAAAGGATGTCTTGAATCTCCACTTTCATGCATTTTGGGCATTAAAGATTATCTCCAAATTGAACTTGAAATTGCTATGGTACTTCCAAGATATCACTCAGTCATCAGAAGGAACTGTTCTAGTTTCAGCACAAACTGTCTCTAGCTTGCCTTTTTTACTGCTGTCTAATTCTTCTCCTTTTGTGGAGAGATTCCACTCGTCAATGTATTTTGGTTGGAAGGTGGCCAGCTAAAAGGCAAATCACTTTGTTTTGCCAGATGGAGCTGTTGCAGTAAGAGACTTGTTTAATTTATATCCAGTTGTATTTTAGTTTATTGACTCTTTGGTAGTATAACTTACATTGTCAATTTTGAAACCAGAGCCATTAGGGGAGGTAGGAATTATTTGCTTGGGATCAGGAGCTCCCAAAATTTTGTGTTTGGTTTGTGTATGTATGGGGGAGGGTAACTAAAGGCATATAACTTAAAGTTGTAAAAGAGGTCTTAACCAAGTAAAAGAGAGAGGCTCTATTAATGTCCACCAACTATATTTCTTTACCCTCTCAAGGTCTCAAGCTTAATGTATCTGATTATACTAGGACCTAGCTACTTTTTTTTCCAGTGGTCAGTGGTGGTGAAATAGTCTTGAGTTGGCATTAATGATAATTTACATGATCTTAAGTTATGGAGCATACATTAAAAAAATTGATCATTTGGAATTCATATGAAATTCTTCTAAATAGAACACTGTTTTATATCATCTATTAGATACCCAAGCTCCAGTAGTTCCATATTGGCGCCTGCCTGGTTTGGGGATTATCGTCTACCTACTGAAACAGAGTGCCAGTGATTTCTTCACTTATTATGACAGTCACCGACGCAGTGTCAACAAGCTACAGAATGTAGAGCAACTTCCACCTGATGAGATAAAAGAGGTATGAGTCTCACACTGAGCTGTGGGGACTTGGGAAATCATTGCTTTTACCAGTAAGAGCCAGAGTATAGGTTTCAGACTTGGGAGTAAGTCTGAGGTTTTCAGTGTGGCTGAAGGAAGTCTTATCACCTTCATCCCATCCTTGTAATAGACACTCATGACTGAAAAATAATCAAGTGACTCCTGTTCAAGGAGATAGAGAGGAAGTTAGCCTTTGAGTAAAAAGTTTTGGGTAGTTTCTACTCTAATATCTGTGTGGACAAACTTTAAACTGCCGATGTTTTTTTGCAGTAGAACTTAGAGATAACTTTCTCTGTGCCTCCAGCATCTTTGATTCCCATTGAGTGAATTTCTCAAACGATAGACTTGCCACCTCCCAGTGACCCATAATTATTCCTCTATATTTACTCTAACTAAGGATGCTGAGTTACAGTTTTCTTCCTTGGTACCTTCCCTTCTTTTCCATGTGGCACAGCTGAGTGGTAAGGCATTTCTTGTTTGGTTCATTTCCTGGGCAGCATGAAAGCTTCTGGTGTTTTATGCAGCCTGAATGTTGAACCATTCAGTTCACACCAGACTGAACAATCGACATCATTCCTGTGAGTAGTCAAGGCCTACTGCCGTTACTACTCTTGTGGCAATCACAGAGAACATTTATTAAGCCATTCTCATTTTTATGTTGAAGAAATGGAGGCACAGAAGGCTTGAAGAACTTCTACAGAAGTAGCAGGAAAGAGTGAGGCAGGAGCTACTGGCTAGGTTCAGGTAATCCCTGAAACTATGTGGCTTGTAGTCGGCAGTTCTTTCTCTGTTTAGTGTTGTTGATTTGCAATGCCAGAACAGCTTTCTGTTGGTGTGTTCAGGCTGTTAATTCCAATACTTCTTGGGGTATCAAAATGTAAGGATGCCGTGGTCCTTTGTAGAAGTGGGGTAGTATTTGTATGTAACTTAAACACATCCTTCTGTGTGGTTAAATCAGTTTAGATTACCTAATATACTATGTAAATGGTTGTTGGACTATTTTATTTGTAGATTAATGACATTAGTCATTAAAAAAATGATCCATAGTTGGTTACACCTGTGCTATAAAACCTGTAGATATGGAGAGCCAGGTGAGAGGAACTGGCTCCCATGAGAAGCAGGAGAGGAACTGCTCCCATAAGAAGCAGGTGGTACCCCACAAGGCCCACTTCATTGTACCTTCTGTCAAATAGCAGTAAATTACTGCTGTGTTCATGACTGACTTGTGAAGTACTTGGGAGGATTTGGTTGTTGACCACATGTTTGTTGTACCTAGAAGTAACTCTCCATTTCCTTCATAAAAATTCTCCATGGCAGCCGGGCGCTGGTGGCTCACGCCTGTAATCCTAGCTACTCAGGAGGCTGAGATCTGAGGATTGCGGTTCAAAGCCAGCCCGGGCAGGAGAGACCGTGAGACTCCTATCTCCAATAAACTACCAGAAAACCGGAAGTGGCGCTGTAGCTCAAGTGGTAGAGCGCTCGCCTTGAGCTGAAGAGCTGAGGGACAGCGCCCAGGCCCAGAGTTCAAGCCCCACGACCGAACAAAAAAAAAAAAAAATTCTCCATGGCATTGTTTGACCTACTCCTTGGAAAACCTGTTTTTGTTTTTAATACGACAAGCAATTCGGGGTGGTGGACTTCTTAGGTTGGAGTTGTCTAGAAGGAAGAAGGTGAACATTGATTGTGAATTTGTTTCTTTGTCTCTAATGTTTAGACAATAAACTCTGTTTGTGAGAAGGTGTAAATTTATTGCTTTTCCTAGCACTTACCACAGTGACCTCCTCATAGTATTTTTGGGTTGTTTGTTACAGTTTATTGCCATTTTAATACTACATTTATTTCTCTTATAGTTGTGTCAGTCTGTGATGCCTGCTGGTGTTGATAAAATCTCCACTGCCCAAAAATACGTTCTAGCAAGAAGGCGTTTGGTGAAGTTGATCAACAACCGAGCTAAACTGCTCTCCCTTTGTTCCTGTATCCTTTATGCAGTCAGAGGCTTGAGTGCTGACCTTTACATGAAGGAAATATTTACTTATTCTCACATTATTTTGGCCATTAAAACCAGATGGAAAAAGATATAATTACTGCTCATTTCCAAATTGTAATTTTTTTCTTATGATTTTTTTCATGTGTATGCTGGTGAACTCAGGGCCTGAATGCTGTCCTGAGTTTTTGTGCTCAAGGGTAGTGCTCTATTTCCACTTCCAGCTTTTTGGTGGTTCATTAGAGATTATCACAGACTTTCCTGTCTAGGGTGGCTTCAAACCATGATCTTCAGATCTCAGCCTCCTTCCTACATAGCTAGAATTCCAGGTGGCACGAGCCACCTAGCAATTTTTTTAAAATTACTTTTTAGCAGAACAGCAAGAGCTATTAACCTATGGAGACCCTTTCTGTCCTGGTAGGCTGTAAGGACTCAGCACCATGCAGCTCCTCCTCCCTTAGCGCATAGCTGCTCTCTTTGTAAGCATGTTCAGGGCCTCCTTCCCTTACCCTGTGGTTTTGGCTATGTAAATGAGTGTGGGCTCTCCTTTCTCTCCTCAGAAACTTCCTAAAAAAACACGTGCTAGTTATTGTCCTTTAATCTGAATTCAGTTATCATAGAGACCTGCCTGTTTATTTTTTGGCGCCACCTGGAGTACTACTTGTTACATTGCACACCCACAGACTCTCAAGATTCCTTGTTTGCCTCTAGAACTTTATTTAAAAGCAGAAGAATACAAGGTAAATTTTATTCTGAAAATGAATGAACCATTAGTGCCTATACATTTAATGGTTTGATACTAATATTGTACTCAAGCTGGTCTAAAAGTCCTGGGTTCTGTGATTTCCTGCCTCTGCCTCTCAAGCAGCTGGTACCTGTATCTCCTACCACACAGAGCTATCTATTTATTATGTCTCAGATTACTAAAAGTAATTTGTATAATTGAGAGCTATTTAGTAGGGATGACTATTTTCTGTATTTACTTTCTGTCCATGTGAAATTTTTTTAGTATTATAGACGTTCTTTAAGCGTCTTGCAGTTCAGTGCTGATTTAGCTGCAGAATCTCCTGTGCAAAATAATTTTTCAGAACACAAGAAAAGGACCAGCCATGGTGAGTTTTGTTGCTGGAGTAAGCATCAGACTGATGAGCATGTACAGTAGGTAGGAAGAGACAGAAGAAACGCATGAGAACCTGTCCTGAACTACTGAAATGCTTCTCAGGGGCTTCCACTGCTGAAGGTTGAAACTTAGGTTCCCAGTTTTGACCTATGTTTTCATGATAGTTTTGCTGGGTGTCAGCCGGCTCCTCTCCTGTGCAGTACATAGATACTTGCCATATGAGTTTGATTGTGTCTTTATCTCTAGATTCCTTCTCCTCAGATGCCAATCTGGATTTTCGAAGTATGCTGACTGTAGTGAGCCAACATGATCTAGACCAGGTGAGCTTCTGTTCTCATACCCTTTTCCTCTTTACTAAAGTAGGCAGGAAGCCTGATATGTTAATAAAGATTGACTTTTGGCTTGACCCTCCATTTCTTTACAAAGTGGGATGGGAACTCAAATCTCAAGGATCTTGCCAGAACTAAATGAGGCTTCATCTGTGTGAAAAGGTAGAGGGCCTGGAATGGGGGTAAGTATTCGGTGATTGGTAGGCATTACCAGCTCTATTCACTTTCCATCACTGCAACAAAATACTTAATACAGAGAAAAGTGGGTAGTTTTAAGAGTTCCATCTCAAGAATGGGCAGACCCATTGCTTTGGCCTCTGGTGGGCATGCTAGATGGCAGGTAGAGCAAACTACTCATCCTTATCATGGCCAGGAAGCAGAAGAAAGAAAGAAAGAAAAAGAATCATTTCTTCACAGTCCTTTTCAAGACATCCCAAGGGACTTCAGTATCTCCTACTAGGTTTTAAAAGTCCCACCACCTCCCAGTGGTACCACTGTGAGCACAGGCCTTAAGCATGTGAATTTAGGCACACACTATCACTTATTTTAGGTAATTACTAGAAATAGCGCAACCATTATAAATTCTACTGTAGCATTGTGATCTTAGAAATAGCTTGATCAGTAGTGGAAACAAATGAAGACCATTCCAAAACAAAGTGAAACCTTATTAGATTCATAGTTTTTATTTCTCTTCTCTGCTCTTTTCTTCTCTTCTCTTTTCTCTTTTTTCCTTTTCTTTTTTGCAAATGGAGAGCATTGCAAAACAAAGTGAAACCTCATTAGAGTCATAGGTTTGTTTTGTTTTGTTTTTGCAATTTTTAGTATGTGCTTCATTTATGTCTATCATAATGGCTGAATGGTTATGTTCAGTCCAAAAGATGTTGGACTCTAGAGCAATCTGCTTAACAGCAATGTTGTTAAGTTTTGTTTTGTTTTGTTTCTGATAAAGCAGGTATCAGGGTATGTGTTATTTGGAAAGAGAAGTTATAGCTAGGTGTGCTTCTAGCCCTCTGTGTGTCCTTAGCTAGGAGCTGATAAAACTGCTGCTCACCTCTCTTCCCCCTTCCTTGCTGCCTGTCTTATAGCTGAGGTTGGGTTTTTCCCAAGGATACTTTTATTTTTGTTGTTGTTGTTGGTTGTGGGGATTGAACTCTGGGCTTGGGTGTTGTCCCTGCGCTCTTCAGCTCAAGTTGAGTGCTCTTCCATTTGAGCCACAGTACCATTTTCGGTTTTCTAGTGGTTTATTGGAGGTAAGAATCTCACAAACTTTCCTGCCTGGGCTGGCTTTGAAACGTGATCCTCAGATCTCAGCCTCCTGAGTAGCTAGGATTACAGGTGTGAGCCACTGGCACCCGGCCCAAGGGCACTTTTAGAAACCTTTTGACTCAGCTGGCTAGATGTCCTAGGTAACACACACTAACTCTAGTCCTGGACACATTTGCCTCTTTAATATCTATAAAGTGAGTTTTTTTTGGCCTGGCTTGTTTAGGAAGGCTGGTATTTGGTGAGGCCATGTGCAGAATTAGCCAAAGAATAAGTTATCCTGATGTTTTTAATAAATATTAAATTTATTTTTACTTATTTTTTTGTTGTTGGTTGTGGGGCTTGAACTCTGGGCCTGGGTGCTGTCCCTGAGCTCTTCAGCTCAAGGCAAGTGCTCTACCACTTGAGCCACAGCACCATTTCCTACATATTAAATTAATGATTTGTTTCTTTTACACTGGTCGGTTGCAAAGTTAGGGAGAAAATAGCCTAAGTAATTGTACTCTGTGCTGTGATTTGAGTATGAAAGTAGGTAGATTTATGAATACTAAAGCACGTCCCAGGCTGCTCCCTCTACTTGTTGATACTCTTAAAAATAGAGTCGGGGCTGGGATATGGCTCTGTAGCAAAACACATGATAGCATGCATGAGACTCCAAAGCTGAAAAAAGAGACAGACAGACAGACAGACATGCAAATGGGTATTTAAAAATTACAAAATAAAATGGAAAGTAATAGCTTTTTCCCAACCTACCACTTCTTTCTTCCACTAACAGTTTTTGGTGTGCTTCTTTAGGAATTGTTTTTGTGTGTATCAGCGTATCAGTGTCAATAGTACCTGTTATTCAAAACATTTAAAATTTTACATGTTTATACAAGCAGGGAACAAAAAAAAACCCACTAGGATCATACAAAAACTGAGAAAATATGAATATTTAATTTTTCAATCCCCAAATATTTTGCAATGGAAAGACCACATTACAAAAGAGCAAAAGTGTTTTCAGTCAGTGACATAGAATAAAAAAGTACTTGAGTCAGTAGTTTTAATCATACGATGTTAATCTGTGCTATTTATAGCTTCAGTCTGGTGCCGTGAATGCTTTTGGAGAATCACTACAAAAGAAGCTTCTGGACATTGAAGGACTGTATTCAAAAGTCCGGTCTCGCCATAGTTTTACCCAGGCTCTCGTGAGACGGATCCGTGGGCTGCTGAGGATATCGAGGAGCTGAGCCTTGCTGACGCCCGGGAGAGGGACCGAGGACACTGCCTCCTTTTTATAAATGACTTTCTTTCTAAATTATGACCAAAATATTTTGATATTTCTTTCTTTATATATAGACATCTTTTCTGTACATTTTTTGGTCTGATTTCATCTTCACAAATAAAAAATAAATACTTTTTAAAAAAACAAAGCCAATGTGTAATCGTCTTTAAAATTTTTAGCCAGGAAGCAATCAGTACTTCCTGCCGTGGCTCTGACCATGTGGTAGTTTTCCCCTAAATGTGAAAGTCAGTGCATAGTCTGGAAATTCTAATTCTTTCCCCACTTTGAACATGTATTACACTTTTATGATATCCAGGGTTACTCTGTAGGATGGAGTGGGGAAGAAACCATAGCAGTGTTTGTGTGCTCAGAACTGTAAATACTATTTTATAGGAATGTCTTAAAAGGCCAAAAAATCAACTTTTGCCAGTCACCTGTGGCTCATGCCTGTAATCCTAATTTAGCTTGGGAGGCTGTCATCCTGGGGATTGCTGTTAAAGCCAGGGCAGGCACAAAAAGTCCTTAAGTGTCTCCAAAACAACCAACAAAAGCAGGACTGGGTGGTCTGTCTCAAGTAGCAGATCACCTTCCTTGAGTAAGTAAGCTGAGTGAATTCAACACCCAATATCAGAAAAAAAAATATTAGCTTTTGTTTTTTTTAAAAAAATATGGGGTCTGAGAAGGTGATTCAGTGGTAGAGTGCTTACCTTGTATGTGTCAGGCCCTAGGTTCGATTCCTCAGCACCACATAAGCAGAAAAAGCCTGAAGTGGCGCTGTGACTCAAGTAGTAGAGCGCTAGCCTTAAGCTGAGGAGCTCAGGGACGGAGTCCAGGCCCAGAGTTCAGGCCCCACGACTGACCCCCCCCCCAAAAAAAAAAAATGTTAAATGATAATATACTTTGCATGTTTCTTTGAAATAATTGTGAAATTTCTCAAATCATCTGCATCTTTTTGTTGTTTTTTTCTGGGGGGAGGGGGGTTCCGGTCATGGGGCCTGAACTCTGGGCCTGGGCGCTGTCCCTCAGCTCTTCAGCTCAAGGCTAGCGCTCTACCACTTGAGCCACAGCACCACTTCTGGCTTTTTTCTTTTTGCTTATGTGGTGCTGAGGAATTGAACCCAAGGCCTCATGCATGCAAGGCAAGCGCTCTACCACTGAGCCACCTTCCCAGCCCTCATCTGCCTCTATCAATTAAGATGACTACTAGTAGGGCAAAAAAATATATAATGGCGGAAGTTGTAGATCAGAGGTAGAAGGTTCTTCAACATGTGTGAAGTGCTAGATTTGATTCCCAGTACTGCAAAAAACATGATATAATAGCTTTATTTCCTGTCCAATTATGTTTATATTCAAGTAACTACATCATTTGAAAGTTTATTTTCTTTTTCCCAGCCATCAGTTACTTTAATATACAGGCTAAAGACTCTTAAAGAGGAAAGACAGACTGCTAATAGGAACAGAGTCGGTTCTCATGTAGAAGCAGAAAATTAATAATTTATCCCAAAGTATATAGTGTTGCTTTTTTGTTTTTAATCTTATAAAAGTTTCAAAGCTTTTAAGTATCCTATTAAAAAAAGAAAAGATTGGCCATTGTTGTATGTTGACATCCATTTATTTCCTACTAGTTATAAGCATTAGTCTTTAGCATTCTATAAATAGAAATCTTGGAGATGAATTGTCTCAGGGCTTGAACTCAGTGTCTAGGTGCTGTCCCTGAGCCTTTTAAAAAATTATTTTCAGAACTGGGTGCCAGTGGCTCCCGCCTGTAATCCTAGACTCTCAGGAGGCTGAGGTCTGAAGATCACAGTTCAAAGCCATCCCGGGCAGGAAAGTCTGTGAGACTCTTATCTCTAACCACCAGTGGTAGATTGCTTGCCTAGCATGCATGAAGCCATGGGTTCAGTTCCTTAGTACCACATAATCAGAAAAAGCTGGAAGTAGTGCTATGGCTCAAGTGGTAGAGTGCCAGCTTTGAGCAAAAGAAGCTCAAGGACAGTACTCAGACCCTGAGTTCAAGCCCCAGGACTGGCACCAAGAAAAAAAGAAAAATTATTTTGCAAAACAAAAATTATTTTGCAATCCAAGGGCTAGTACTCTACCACTTGAGCCAAAACTCTACTTCCTTCTTTTGGTGGTTTGTTGGAAATAAGAGTCTCAGACTTTCCTGCTCCAGCTGGCTTCAAATTGAGATCCTCAGATCTCAGCTTCCTGAGTAGCTAGGATTACAGGCATGAGCCACTGGCTCTAGCAATATTAAGGCTTTAGTTTCTGGCTTTTCTCTGTAGATGTTTTCTCCCATTCGGTTGGGTTATCTTTTCAGCTTTAAAAAAATAGTGTAGATGTTGTATATTTTAATGTGTGAGATCTATCAGTCTTTTCCTTGGTAGTGCTTACTCTTTGTAGTCTGATACTTTTTTTCCAATCTGAGATGATAGACTATTATTTATGGTGATGTATTTCAGTGTTACATTTCTACCAGTGTACGGTGTATTCCAATCAGTTGTCTGTTTCCTATTCTGTTGTTTCTTTTTCTCTCTCCCCATTTCCGGTCTTCCTTTTCCCCTTGCTTTATTCTATCATTTTCTCCTTTTCTCTGTTTTTTTTTTAATTTGCATTATTATTAAGCAGTTGTACAAAGGGGTTACAATTCGTAAACTTGATCAATGACACTCCTTCCATTGTTCTCCCGTTTTTCTCCTTCCCTGCTAGTTGCACGTTTCAGTTTTTACATAATGTACACTGAATACAATCAGTGCATTTGCTCATCCCTCCTTTCATGCGCTTCCCTCCCCCCCCAATTTTGTCAACTTTTTTTCTTTTTTTCTGCAGGGAGTAGAAATGTGATGATATGTAATGAAGCAGATGTAGAAAAGCAGAAATGGAGCGAACGTTTTGTACTCCCACGGTTGTGCACTGCAGCTTCATAATGTAGTAAGCTACTGTGATTTGGTTTTCTACTGTTTGGGACCAGTAAGGAAAGGGTCACAGACAAGAGTAGACTTATCATGTGTGTGTCCCCCGGGCAGGCCAGCAGTTTTAACAGGGTCCGATCACTGTCCACGTTCTTCCTTCACAGGACCTCACTTGCTTCCCACAACAGTCCAGCTCGGTGTGTAGAGTTGGAAGTCAGACTTCCAGGATGTTAGCTAATGTTTTCCAACAAGGGGTGCAAGAAGTCACGGCTTTAGGTCTTGAATTCTGAGAGCTCTGCTCAAGGACAGACATCCCAACAAAGATAGACAGCTTCTGACAGAAGCAGCTCCCCTGTGGATCCTGGCATCTAGGGCTGCCCTCCCCTCGCTCTGTCCACAGCCATAGAACTCATTTTTTTCCCTCCGACTTGTTGGAAAGCCGAGGAGTGTACTGGAGCTCACGATGCAGATGACAAAGTACCCGGCGATCTTCAACGAGCATGCGTAATGGGCTCCTGGGACTTTGGAAACCCACGGCCCCAGAGCGGGGGTGCCCTGCTCACGCTGGCTGGGTCCCGCCGCCTCCTGCCTCCTGTCTTCAAGGCCGGAGAGCCTGAGCCTGGCTGTGCAGCAGCATGGTTGGCGCCCGTGAAATAATGCAGACCCCCGGGCCGCAGGGCACCTGGCACCTGGCTGCCTGGGCCTACGCGGCGACGCTCGGGCGCTCCACCAGGGGGCGCCGGTGTGACGGGACGCAGCCGGGAACAGGAAGACGGGCGGGGCGGGGCCGGGAGGGGCCAGGAGGGGCGGGGCGTGACCCGGAAGTGGACGGCGGGCCCCGCCCGCGTCGGGGAAGGCCAGCCGCGACCCGCGGAGAAGCTGCATCACCTTCCTGCCCGCCTGGCCTTCCCCGCCGACACCATGCTGCAGTTCCTGGTGAGTGGAGCTGCGGGGAGCGGAGGGGGCAGGAGAAGGGGCCGCCGCCCGGGGGCGCCTCGGGAAGCTGGGGGCCGCGCGGCGCGGGCCGGGCCGGGCCCCGCGTGGTCCTGCCTCCGCGCCCCTCGGGCCCGCGGGCGCTCCCGCCTCCCAGCGCCCGCCGCACACGCCCCGGAAGCTTGGCGTGAGTTCAGGGCTGCTTTTGCACGCTCGTTTGGAGAGGGACCCGGTTAGGTCCGGTGCCTTTTGTATCGGCCCTCCTCCTGCTCTCGGGCCCATCCCTGACCTAGCGCCCTTCCAGCCCCCTCTCCCCCTCCCCGGGCCCAGACCCCATCCCTGACCTAGCGCCTTTCCAGCCCCCTCTCCCCCTCCCCGGACCCAGACCCATCCCTGACCTAGCGCCTTTCCAGCCCCCTCTCCCCCTCCCCGGGCCCAGACTCCATCCCTGACCTAGCGCCTTTCCAGCCCCCTCTCCCCCTCCCCGGACCCAGACCCCATCCCTGACCTAGCGCCTTTCCAGCCCCCTCTCCCCCTCCCCGGACCCAGACCCCATCCCTGACCTAGCGCCTTTCCAGCCCCCTCTCCCCCTCCCCGGGCCCAGACCCCATCCCTGACCTAGCGCCTTTCCAGCCCCCTCTCCCCCTCCCCGGGCCCAGACCCCATCCCTGACCTAGCGCCTTTCCAGCCCCCGCCCCAGACCCCATCCCTAACTTAGTGCCTGCAGCTTGGCATTTTGGAGAAGTTAAAAGTCCATCAATAAACGTTATGAGGTTTGAGAGGTCCAGGAAGCTTCATAAGATCTATAATTGTTTTCAGACTTTGAGGAGTAAGTCAGCCCTGGTATACAAATAAACTCCCTCGCCCACCCAGTCCTTTTCTTTGGTGAGAGGAGGATAAAAAGGAGTGTTATAGGTAAACAGATTATGTCTCCTGGCTTCCTACTTGACATAAAACCTGGCTTTCTTGGGAAACTATGTAGGGTAAAGGTTTCTGGGGGATTTGCCAAGCTTCCAAGATTTGCCAAGCTTCCAAGTGAGAGTTTTTCTAGCAGATTCCGTGCAGTCAGAACTTTCCATCTCTAATGAGCCAGATACTCTTTATCTTGCCCATGGTCAGTGGAGACGTGGTGCTCTGGGAATGAGTGACTTTCCCAAGTGTCCTCTTGAGAGTTGGTGATTGGTTTTTAAATCCATTTTGTCAAAAGAGATGGCCCTTAACATAAACTGGTCAACTAAAATAGGGCTACTTCTTGGCCTCAGAGATTCTCCACTGTTCCAAGTAGGTGTTGACCTAGGAGTAATTACAGCCTTTTACCTGTTGGAAACACTTGAATAAGGGCAGTCTCCGACCCCCAGGTGTAAGAGGATACAGTTCATTCTCCCTTGACATCTTTTTCCTGATAAACCAAGAGGACATTAATTCAGTTGCCATTAACTTTTGAAGTGTCTTTGCAGGGTAAGTTGATTTGATGTTGGACTATTGCTGTGTATAAACATGAGTTTTGATAGAGAATTCAGAATTCACCGAATTCAGGGGAAGTTGCTGTTGTGGTGTTAAGTGGACACTGATGCTCTCTCCTGTCCTTCCCCTCCTGTTTTGGAAGGAAATGGATAGCTTACTTTTCATGTTGATGATTAACTAGGACAAGTCTTTCTTCTTGCTTCACTTATTTCCTCTATAAAACACTGGCCATCCTGTCCCAGTGTTTATGAGATTCAGACCCCAGAATTAGACACTACCTTGATCACTCTGGAACAGCAGAAGTTTGGGCAGATTAAATTTTCTATGCTTCATTTTCCACTTTCAAATATGAGCTCTACCTCATGATTGTGTTGTGAGAACTAGAGAGGAATTAACACATTAAACCCTTAAAAATATTAACACATAATAAAAAGATCCAGATAGGTTTCACTTTGTCTTTTGCAAGGCATCAGCTGAACTCTTGAATTGGTTTCTTTATAGAAGTGGGGCTAGGAGAGATTTGGAAGTGGTAGAGTGGTCACGAGTATTTTCTATTTACGAACAGTTGTATGGAAACTTCGGAGTACTTGTGCCCATCACCTATGCTGCTGTTACTGTTGTCATTCATTTGTTCTACCTCTTTTTTGGGGGGGGATCCAGTCGTGGGCCTGAACTCTGGGCCTGGGCACTGTCCCTCAGCTCTTCAGCTCAAGGCTAGCACTCTACCACTTGAGCCACAGCGCCACTTCCGGCTTTTTTTTTCTCCTGCTTATGTGGTGCTGAGGAATCAAACCCAGGGTCTCATGCATGCAAGGCAAGTGCTCTTCCACTGAGCCATCTTCCCAGCCCCTTGTTCTACTTCTTGAAGCCAGCAGCAGTTGGTATTCAGAGCACCTCATCTTTAGTTGGATCCATGGTTGTTGTTGTTGTTACCACACGTCACAGTTACTTTTTATGGGAAACTTGTTCCCAGTGACCCTCCACACAGTGACTGCCCCAGGCGCTGCCCTCTTGAGGCTGAGGGGATCATATCTGGACTTACCAGTTGGGGAACTGCTTTCTAATCTCTCCTGACTTTTGCTGGCTGTGCTTCCTTGCTCTTGGTTAGTGTATTGCTCAAGACTAGTTGACTTTGCGCTTATCTTTGCACCCTCCCTTGAGGAGTGTGTTCCTTGTCATGCTGTCACCTTTTGCCTCTTTGCTGACAACTTCCAAAATTACCTTGAGTCCTTTTCTCAGGGTTCTAGTTTCTTGGTATCTTGGTATCAATCCCTTTGTCCTCTCTGTCTCATACTTGACATATCTGGATCAGTTATTCTCTCTCTTTCCCCTTCCTCCCAGTTCCTACTCCACACCTAATGTATTTCTACTCAAATTTGAAATACAGATAGAATTTTTTATTTTTTCTCCTCAGTTTGCATATCTTTTACCTGCTATGTACTTGGCACATATATTTACCTGCTCTATAACATGGGCAAGTTCCTTACTCCGTCCTCAGTTTTCTTAGCATGAAACTGAGCAGTATTAGCTGCTTTATAAGGTTATGGAGAAGCCAATGGTAAAACAGGAGGTGAGCTTGTGTGCAATGAGGATGCAGTAATTATTCTTTAAGTTTTTGTTGCTCACCTTGTGAAAAGTTTTCTCTGTTCCCACACCAGTGGGAACCAGTGGTTCTTGCTCCACTCTCAGACCAGTTCCACTAGCTAGCTGTTATAGAATTTTGATTTTGAATTGGAAGGATTATTTTAGGTTCTTTAGTCAAACTAATGGATGTTGATGTTTAAGTCTCTACCACTAAGGGCCTAAATTTACGGACTGATAAGTTCGTACTACATGATTGATTTTATTTACTGTCAACCCTCCATATCAGCAGGCCACACCTGCAGATCCAAGCTACCTAGCTACTTAGGAGGCTGAGAGAGTATTTGGAGAAAAAAGGTTGCATCTATATTGAATATGTACAGATTTTTTTTTTGTCATTCTTAATACAGCAGAATGACTCTTTACGTTGTACTAGGTATTCTCCTTAATCTAGAGATGATTGAGAGAATATGAGAGGGGACTTGAACAGCTGCAGATGGTGGTCTGGAGAGATCTTGGAACCCCCTGTGGGTTCTGAAGGACAGTCATATTTAATCTTAGGTTAGCCTTTCACCACCACCCTCAGTCATAAAGTACTTAAAGAAGTTCCATCAACTTCTCTGAGAATAAAACCAGTTCTACCCAGTATAGTCTTTTCTAGTGTTTTCTGCATTTATTCTGTATACAAGATTATTGAATGTAAAATTTGGCTTATCTCTTAAAAATGTGCTTCTCTGGGGCAGCAGCAGTAGTTATATCCTTGATAGATTTCATTTTAATGTACAAAATGTGGGTTTGATTACTAAAGAAGTTGCTAAATGAATTCCACCTCAATTTTAAAAAATAAACCTCAAAAATGGTGAATTTTTCATGCTTTTTGGAATATAGAGGTTGTCTGAATGCTTTCTAACTAAATCTGAAATTGAGGAATAAAGTTGAAATATAACATGTGTTTTTATTGTTAGATAGTATGTATTTTTTATTTTTTTCGAATAGATTTTCTCACCTCAAACCCTAAGTCATTTTTGGATGTTCTATTGAATGTTAGTGGTAGTTACATTTGCTGAATAAATTGGGTTTATTTTTAGATTTCTTATACTCATGCCAGTGACTTAGGTGTGGGTGTGTTATTTTTGAAAATGTAATTTGGTGAGTCATAGCTCAGACTTGTCAGATGCTCTGGGTTATTGTCAGCTACTCTGGACTTTGTCAGAAACCATCCCCAGATGAATATTGTAGCTTTGTTTGCTGATCTATAGACACAACAGCTTTTTGAGTGGGGAAGGGCTAGGACACATGCTGAGAAGAGTGTGTTTGTTTAGAGTTGGCTTTGATCTTAACCTACATATGTGTTCATGCATTCAAAAGAGGAAATTGATCATTTTTTTTGTAGCACTCACAGAGCCAACATTTATCTGACTGGTCTCTTTTCTGTCTGGGAGCTGTTAAATTATCTTTGATTTCCACAATTTCATCCCAGGTAACCAACAGAATTTTATCAAATTTCAGTTATTTTTGTGGCTTTGAAATAAATTCACTGATTTAAAGTGTTTTTAATGTATTCACAGATTGTTCAACTATCACCACTATCTCATAATTGTATATCGAATGTCTCATCACCTCAAAAAGAAACCTTATACATCTTAGCATTCATTTCTCCTTTCCTTCTCCAACCCTCGATGTTTATTCATTTTTGTGTCTTGTGTATTCTGCATATTTCCTATCAGTAATCTTTTCTGATTGCCCTTGACAGTGTTGTCAAGGTTCATATATATGATAGCTTGAATCAGCACTTCATTCTTTTTTTTTTGAGGGGGGGGGGGTCCGGTCGTGGGGCCTGAACTCTGGGCCTGGGTGCTGTCCCTCAGCTCTTCAGCTCAAGGCTAGCGCTCTACCACTTGAGCCACAGCGCCACTTCCGGCTTTTTTCTTTTTGCTTATTTGGTGCTGAGGAATCGA